TATCTTTACATTCACCTTTTTACATTTGGTTAAAAAATTTTTTTTTTTTTTATATGTAACAGTCAGGGTAACAAAAATCTTATTAGGAAACATTTTTCCTGCAAAAGCACATAATAGATCAACTATTATCTAAATCTTTATTATTTACATCCTCTGTTTACCATATCCCATCTGGACATGAGCATTTACGACTTTCCACAACTTTGTGTCCCTTGTAACTCTAAACATTATTTTAATCTTTACCTTTATCATCCTTCTTTGTCCTTGCTCTGCCAACTGTTTTTCAAAACTAGTTAAGTACAATAACCCTTGTTTCTGTCTGATCTTCCTGTTTTGAATATGCTCTCTTTATGTATCCCAGAAATTTCAGTTGTCTTTTTCTTATTGTAAGCATGTGTCCTTTAGTTCTCATTTTCTATAGAACTTTCTCTATACTCACATGTCCAGTCCATGATATTCTCAGCATCCTTCTGTAGAACCTGTAGTGAATTCTACAATTTTAATTTTCTAAGGTTACAGAATTAAAAATAAAGAATTCCAAACCTGTAGGCTTTTTGAACACAAGTTTGAAATTCTGTCATTAATGTTTTCCATTCAATAAAAATTCATATTTTTTATCCAATTATGAGGGGTTGCTGGAGAGTTCTCTTCCTAACCAAGAAACCCTTCCCATAAAAATTTTAATATTTAGTCAATTCAGCCAGATTTTGGATGTAATGATCACTGATACAGAAAATGGAATCAATGGGCTGATTTCAAATTCACTTATGTGCAAATACCCTTGAAAAAGGTATGAATCGCTCTTCTCCCAGTTATGGGTTAAATAGTAGGGCTGACTGGGCTCTCAAGCTTTGTTTAGCAAAAGCTATGGATCTTTCACTTCTTCCCCAAGCTATGGGTTAAACAGTAGTGCCGACAGGGCTCTCTAGGTTTGGTTGGCAAACAGTATGAATCCATCTCTTTTCACCATCAACTAGGAGTTTAATAACAGTAAACTTTGATTGACAACCAGTTTAGGGCTACTCTGAGTTTCAAATTTGTGCAAGCAATTCCACCTTGTAAAAACCTACTTACTATAGAAAACATAGCAACACCTAGCATGTTAAGGCTGTGGCTCTATACTCTATAGGGGAGTCTAATGTCACTGAAAAGGAGCAGGTCAGATTCTAGAAAGAGCTTCTAGCCAAGAACTCTTCAGTACCCCTTGATGTAACCTAGTTAACAAATTATTCACATCCAGTTTTAGCCTATTTTTTGTAGCCACTGAATTCTTGTACATAGTGGCAATCAATGACTCAATTCTCACTTCTCTAAGCTGGTGGTTTCACAAATGTTGTGGCACACCTTGTAGAAGAAGATAGTAGGTGAGGTGGAATGATTGAAAGACAATCAAAGATTTAGAAACAGTTTTAAAAAATTGATATGCTAAAAATAAATATGATTTCAAAATTTAAAATATTATTATGGATTACTTGTAATCGTATGCATGTGTCCCAGTATAAATAGGTATAAATAATTATTGACTGATTTTATCATTGTGAAATTTTTGCATTATATCAAGTATTAAGACTATATTAACTAGGGTTGGCAAAGTAGTGGAGGGAGAGTTATCAATGATAATATTCTGACTTCGAATCCGTGGTTATCTCCCTTTTAAACCTCTCTCATATCTTTGAATTAGTATATCCAATCACAAACATGTATATATGTATTTTTTCTTATAGAAAAAGGTCTTGATTTTGTTCTAAGATTCTTTTTTTAGTTAAGTGTTCTTGCTCAAAAGAGCATATATTGAGCTGTCTCATGTTTGATTTATTCCTATTTCAAGATATATTCCTTTTGTTATATCATATTGATTATTCTATGAACAGAATGTTGAATAGATTTTTTTCTTATTTTTAAATGTACTTTTTATCACATGAAATTTGAGTCGCAAGCAAATTTTCATTTTGAAAATGCAGCCCAGAAAAAAAAATTTGGGAGCCATTGTTCTATCAGATATACACATCTGTTTTCTCATATCAGTGGCTGGCTACTTCTATCAGTGTATGCCTATTAGGACAGCTAGCCATTCCCTGTTGCAGACACCTGCTCAAGCACACTTTGTGCTTTTTTTTCAACATGCACAGAACCCGCCTGTGGTTTACTAATGCAACTATGCTGAACTGACCTTAATTAGAATTTATATGAGAGATCACATTATCTGGCATGATCAGTCATCTGAACAAGGCTAGTGCACCACTCAAACCCTCAGTTATGATGACTTGTGACTTTATGCTAGCACAACCATTAATAGCTCCCAAATAGTTCTGTCTACCCTTGGATCAAAACATGGTATTGTTTTCAGAAACTTTCCAAAGATGCCACATGCTTATAACATCAAGAAGTTACATTCGTGACAAATCAACCATGATGAGATTCAAACCAAGGTCTTGTAGAATATTGGTACTTACCTGCCAACATGGCTGCCTTCTTCTGTTTCCTTGTAAGGCAGCCATGTTGACTTCTACAGGTCTCATGGTTGGAAAGTGAACATTCTAACCACTTGACAATGTGCCCATATGATCAGCAATTAAAAATGACTTCAGGTGAATGAATCGTTTAGGTCATAAAAAGAAAGTTGGCAAAAAGACCATATAGACTGACACTACAATATCACAAAGATCTATTACCAAATAATGAAAACCACATCACTTAGATATTTCCAATAGCAGCAGCAACAAGAAAAACAGATAGTACATGTAACTAGAATGGAAAATATTGATATAATCAAGAGGTTGACTTTCCACACTACCTTAAACAAAAGGTTTGGAAATAAACTTCTCTCAATACTGGAAAGAACAAAAACAGCAGACTTGAGAAGCCTATTTTCCAGAAAAATTGATTTTAGAAAAACCTTCTATAAATTTTGATCAGCTGATGCTAGATGTTTGGTAAATGAATGCCAAATGTTTCCTTATAAGGAAATGGATAATTTCATCTTTACCGTTAGTGATTCAAAAGAAGTGCTTAAAGAATTAGTTTGAAATTTTTCTTAGGAACATTTCAAGTTGACAGCATTACACAAGGATAAATTTTTGTGTGCTTTCCTTCAACTTTATCATGTTTGGCAACGTGATATTAAGTAAAATTGTTTTGCTACACAGAAATTAAAAATTACCTATTTTTTTTCCTCTATGCTTTCTTGAGAATGGATAATACATGCAATATGGATTTTAAAATTGATTCTTAACACAGCTTTCATCTTACTGTATATAATCAAGAATAGATCACACTTTTTTCACTAAACTTTTGATAAAAATCAGGAGTACAACCTATCCACTTGACATCATAGAGAAACTGAAGTAGACTGTAGAGTATCAATAGTCCAGGTAAGTACTATGTGCTCAAGCATAAGTGAGAGCAAAGGAGAGAATGAATTTTTCCTAACATTTTGATTTTTATGCAATCACCTTTTCCAACAGTACTGTGTCGCACATTGAATAAAAATGCCCATTTTGCACTGCTCATATTTACCATTTACCATCTTATTTATGACTAGCAGTTGAGCCCGGCGTTGCCTGGAGATGTAACAGTAAGAGATAGATCAAGTATCGACCATCATAAAGACTGAAAAATAAAATTGACAAAGATTATTGTTTACGGTTGACGGACACGCATGTCTTAATTAGTTTTTTTTTTTGTTTGTTTTTTTTGGGTTTTTTTACGAATTGGTCAAACCCAAACTCAAACAAAAACATTGTTTTTAATTGTTATGAGTCTACTGATTGAATAGAATTTTATTATAAACAGTTGTCTTGTAAATGAAATTTTTAAAGCATTCTGAATGTAAAAATAAAGAAAAATTGTGCAAGACAATAAGAAACACTACCTGCCAAAAAAAAAGTTTTGTTGAAATCGGTTGAAAAATGTATGAAATCCGATCCCATATATAAATGAACACACACACACACACACACACACACACCCTGGGTTTTATAATAAGTATAACTCAATATGAGTTGTCCCCCTTTCATTCTTGTGATGTCTCTTAATCGTGTTTTCAAATTGATTTTGTGCAAAAACAATTGTTTTTCCAATTTCTGGCGCTGTCAGAAGGTAATTTTATGTAGTCCTGTGAAGTTTTGTTGAAATCGGTTGAAAAATGTAGGAAATCTGATCCAATATATAAACGTACACACACACACAACCTGGGTTTTATAACAAGTATGATGAAAGACAATCATTTTCAAGTGATTTTAGGAATGAAGCAATTACTGGTATCCAAACAGAGCAGCTCTTCACTCAATAAGTAAATACCATGCAATTACATCCAATCACAATTTTGCTTACAGCTATTGAGTGCGGAGTAGTCATTTACCGGTATACAAAAACTCGATTCACCCAGATTTTTTCTGGTGCCAGTAGTTTACAAATTTTAATAATTGCAAACCCTGATCATGTGTAAGAGAAAGATTTATGAACTAAGTTTTGAGTTGAAAGTGGTGGATTATGCAGAAGAACATGGAAATGGATCTGCAGAAAGAGAATTTGCAGTTTCAGAAATATTATTTAACAAATATTAGTTCTACTTACATTTCAAAAGGGCCATGCAATTTCTCAGATTATAGTGTGACTTATCTGAGAGTCAACAGCAAATAGCCACTTAGATCTCACCCTTAGCTTGGGGTTGTCAATCTATTGGTGTGTCCTATCTGCAAGTATATATGGTAAATTATTCCTTTAAGTATTTCTCATTGAATTAACCCCAGGAAAAAAAAAAATAATGAAACTTTTTCAACAGATTATACCAACATATACAAAACCTCTAACTATTTCTGAGATGAGGTATTGTAATTATTTACACTATTTACATTGGTTGAACTGTTGTCTTCTTTGTTGCTATATTCATAACGTTTTTGGCCGTTGTATGCTCTGTCCTTCTTCAAGTGATTGGTATTTCAAACTGAACTTTTTATTTGGTCCTCAAGGATACATGGCTCAGTGGATAAAAGTGTTGATTGAATAAATGTGATATGATCTAAAGAGTTGTGAGTTGAATATCTGGCTACAACAGAGATGAACAAAGAGTTGAGTTAAAGTGAAATAACTGATACTGAGACATCTGGAAAAGGCATGGTATGTGGAACTAGAACAATCTACCCCAGTGAATGAAATAAAGGGTTCAGTTTGAAATTAGTCACCTGAAGAAGGCTGGACCATACAACAGCTGAAACATCATGAATATGGCAATGAAGATGAGGACAAGAGTTTGAACAATGTAAATAGTGTGAATATGAAAAAACATTTCAAAGTTTCGCTTTCTGTTATTATTTCCCATAATAACTGATACATTCCAATACAGATTTCATCAGTTAAATGTAGAATATTTTATGGGACAGGCAATGAACAATATTACCTTTATCCCATAAATAGCTTGTTGTCACTCTAAGAAACGTTTGATTACTTACCCTACCACCCTATCCTATTTTTCTACTAGTTGAAGCAAATGATATGGTTTAAAAGTTAAGTACCAGAGGAGCAAGTTATCTGTGGTAGATGGATACCCTGTGGATGGTAAAATCTGCTGATATTAGAAAACCACCTAGTCCACAAAATTTACTCTGAAACATAAACCCACTTGATGAGAGGATGCAGCTCCTCACCACTAAGATATATATATATATATATAACATATTTGCAGATGGAGTGATCACCATGGTGGGTGCTTTGGGGGATATCGAGGTTGTCATGGTGGGTGTTTCTTCTGATTTTGAGGTAGCCATGGTGAGGGATTCTTTGGATATTGTGGTTGCCATGATGAGTGAATCTTTGGATCTCAGTCGCCATGATCAGGCAATTCTGCGCATATCGAATTTGCTATGGTGGGGTGATTCTGTGGATCTTTAAGTAACCTTGATGGGCGATTGTGTGATAAAGTTGCCATGATAGTGACTCTGTAGATATTGAGGTCAATATCTCAGGGTGATTCTGCAGATAAGGAAGTCACTATGGTGGGGTGATTCTGTGGATATCTGCTTTAGAACTTTAATAGGCAGCATTGGAACTACCCATGGATAGCCCATCCTTGCCAATGGCAGTCCAGAACTAAATGTCATTTATCTATTTTATTTGTATTTGGTCAAGTTAGTGGTGGTTTTTAATACCCCATTTCACAGACTTTACTGCTGGTCATAAAATATGCAAAACCCTAAGATAAAATCATCTACCATCCTCTTCTATGTGGGTATTTTGATCACAGATATAGTGTCACTCTGACTAAACTATCAGTGACTGAGATTGTTACTATAGTACCTTACAATGAGAAAATGTAATGATATATATTAGTTAAACTGATACAGGAATTATTTGGTTGAGTCATAAGTAATTTTGCTTTTTGGGAACCAATTGTGATAATGTATCATCCTAACTACTAATCATTCATGGCAGTTTAAAATAAATTTGGAGTACAATTTTTTTGTATAGTAGTGGCAGTGTACACAGTGAATTAAAGGAAAAATGTTGTCTTCTATGACAAGATTGCATATGTCATGAATAACACAAAAAAATTTTGGAACTCTGTTGGCCTGTTCTGTCCACCTTGCTGTATCCACTTTCTTACACCAAACAATTATTAACTTTTTTGATTGCTGCAAAATGCTTTGAAGGGAAAACTTTCTCTAATGAAAACCAGATTAAAGAGTTCATTGAAAAACTTTTCACATCAAAGCCTGTGGAATTTTACTTGAAACATATGGAAGAGATGCCTGATAAGTGGTAAAAAGTCATTGCAAATAATGGTGAATATGTAATTGAATAAAATGTAATTATTTATGACTCCACCAAAGACGTTTATTGTTAAATGTCATTTTTTCTTTTTTATTTCTTCGTATTTTTTCAGTTTTATTAATTTATTTGTTTTTCATAGGCTTCAAGAATCCAACACAGTTCTTGACTTCCACTTAGAAGACAAACATGGTCACTTTATGGAACTTAAAAAACAATGTGGGGAAGTTGAAAACAAGGTAAGTTTGTTTTGTCTTAAAGCAGTTGCCTTGTAGACTGTGGATAATATTTGTAGGATGTATAATAGCATCATAGAGATCATGAGAGAGAAAGTGTAAGAGTTATAAACTATGCTTTTTTACCAAACATTAGTTGAGGTCAGCTTTTTCAGATCAGAATGAAAGACAAAACTGTGTATAAGGAAAATGCATTGGGTTTTTTGAGGACAAGAGACCATAAAACAATTTACTCCATCAGCAAAAACAATCAGAAAGTGTTTGTTATATATATTAGAGCTGTCAGTGTCTGTTTTATTTTCTCTTCTCTTTCACCCTTAACCCCCCCGGAAGAAGTCATTGGAGCACCATTGTGCTGAGCTGGAATCTTCAGGAAATGAGTTGTTTATGACTTTTATAATTTACTGAAATATTTGTGACCCCAAAAAAAGTGTTTTCTTTTTTTTTTTTTTTCTTTTTAAATCTACGGGGAGGTAAGTCACCTTTTAATCGTGGTTCAGTTAATTTTTTTTTTTTTTTTTAAACTAAGTGTAGGAAATTTAGTTTTTAATCCTGGTCCAGTTAAGTTTTTAATTTTTTAACTAAGGGGAGGTAATTCACTTTTTAATCATTTTTTTTTTTTTTTTTTTTTTGCTCTGATGCAAAATAAATTACTGCAAGTGCAATCACTTATACTGATTCCAACTTTGTCTGTCCATGGCTAAGTTCTTCAGTCAAAGGAGAGATGCTGGGTTTGCAATGTCAAGTAGAATATTTATATTTTCCCATTGCTTTTTCACGTTTTATTTATCTTCTTTTTTTTGTTTTCCTTTTTCAGTAAAAGTAAAGTAGAATCTTTTAAGAAATTGTAAAATTCATATTGGGAATTTCATCAGGTGTGCTACAATCCTGTCCTGAATGTTAACAATACCATTACAAAACGGAAAAAAAAAAATAAAATAAAAAAATAATGATCATATAATGTGGCACAAGATGGATGCCATTAACTCTGTTTTCAGATAGAATAGCAATTTGTGTAAAATCTTGAAGAAATATTTTCAGTTATTTTATATCAGTTTTATGTTGTGGTTAAACTTTTTGGATCAATCAACCAACACTTTTATCCACTGAGACATGTGTTCCAACAAATATCACCTGAAGAAGGCTGGAGCATACAATGGCTGAAACATTGTGAATGTGACAATAATAATGAGGACAACAGTTTGAACAATGTAAATAGTTACAATACTATCATCTCAGAAATATAGACAGGAAGAAGGCCAGACTGTACAACGGCCAAAATGTTATGACTGTGACAATTCAAACAATATAAATAGTGTAAATAGTTACATACATCATCTCAGAAATATTAACAGAAGTTGTAGTTGTTTACTTTATTTTTGTATATGTTTATTTCTATTTTATCTTTTAACATATTTTTAACTAGCTTAAAAGCTGCCCTCTCAATTGGCATTTAAGCTAGCTAGGTGATTCTTGATTGGGCCTTCAGATTGTTCAGGAGTTTGAGATTCCCTAAGTCTTTGCATATTCTCAGCATTGGAAGCTTTCCTGCTGCAGTTTGATCTGCGTTTTCATTTGCACAAGACTTTCTTTTCCTTGCTGCTTCCTTGGCTCTTATTGCAATCTGGTCCTCTGTTGGTGGAGATTTCTTTTTGTGAGGCATACTGCTGCTGTATACAATAAGCAACAATAAATAACAACTCAAAATTGCTTGCTGCATTTAAGTATTGCATTAATATTTAATACCTTTCAAAAGATCAATGATAATTCTCGTGTCGCCACTTAATTTAATGACAGTTTGATATCTGTAGGTCCTTGCTTTCCATACAAACAATTATTGTTATTTCATGGGTGATTTTTGCTGGATTTTGCAATTAATGTTAATTATTCTCAAATTTATTTCCAAGTTATAAAAATTGTTATTTTACAAAAAAATTTGTTGCAAAAATCACATGAAAAATCTTCGAAAGCAATCGCAGTAATGAAAACTTGGAAATCTCAAATTTCAGGATGGTGGGCCTGGATCCGGCCTGGAATGTTTTTAATTTGCTCAGGGAGTCGGCCTGATTCCAAAATTGTATGATATCTGGGGCTACAGCGTCTAAGAGTAAAGAAAAAAAAGTGTGACACACTGATATTGGCATTAAAGTAAATAAGTCTTTAGAGTAAAAAAACAAAACAAAAAACTTGAACAACACAAATTTTTGTATAGATAAGCTGTAACTTGGCAAATAGAAAAAGAAATAAGCACTTGACATAGATATTTTTATAACTAGTTTGGAGCCTGTCACTTCACTGAGAGGAAAATGATCAATTTTCAAATCTAAATCATTTGTCTATTTAAAATACAACATTAGAAAATGTATTCAGGTTAAATACAGGAGTCATAAAAATAACTTTATATGGCTGCATATCAAGGTGTCGGAGTTGGAAGTAATTAAGGGATCACTAGAGTAAGAGTTGGTAAAACTATACTGACTATGACTTCAGTTGAAATTACACTTTATGTAAAAAGTCTTACATTATAGAATTTTTATTGTTATTTCTTCTACTGTATATTTACTAATTCCTTCTTCTACTGTATATTTACTAATTCCTCCTTCTACTGTATATTTACTAATTCCTTCTTCTACTGTATATTTACTAATTCCTCCTTCTACTGTATATTTACTAATTCCTCCTTCTACTGTATATTTACTAATTCCTCCTTCTAGTGTATATTTACTAATTCCTCCTTCTAGTGTATATTTACTAATTCCTCCTTCTAGTGTATATTTACTAATTCCTTCTTCTAGTGTATATTTACTAATTCCTTCTTCTAGTGTATATTTACTAATTCCTTCTTCTAGTGTATATTTACTAATTCCTTCTTCTAGTGTATATTTACTAATTCCTCCTTCTACTGTATATTTACTAATTCCTCCTTCTACTGTATATTTACTAATTCCTTGAAAGAAGTTCAATCTCAACTTTTTTTTTAAAGTCATTTTATTTTTTGTAGTTATTTTTTATTTGCAAAACTATATATGTAAAAACATCTTACATTATAGAATTTTTATTTTTTATGTATTTTACATCCTGTAAAAGATTATATTTCAACTGTTATAAAGTAGTTTTATTTTTGTTCTGTACTTATCTCTTATTTGCAAAGATTATATATATATATATATATATATATATAATCTTACATTATAGGATTTTTGCTTTTATTGTTATTTCTTCTATATCCTTTCAAAGATTTTGTCTCTAATTCTGTTAGAAAATATTGAAAAATGAATGGGTATGATATAAAAGCTGCAATATTTTTATTTTTTGATATAAACCAGTTATTATGATACAGGCCTACTCAAGTTAGGAGTGTATACATAGGCTTTGTGAGATCTGTAGGCCATAATCACTTAATTATATAAAGAGGAGTCGGAGATGCTAAAAATAAAGGAGGGGAAGTTGAAGGTTTTGTGCTCCAACTTCACAGCCCTGCCACACATTTCGGCTTATCATCTTTTTCTGTCAACCAGGGATTGTTGTCAGATGGAAAGAGAAATGAATCCGAGCACCATAGATGCCCATTTCAAATTAATTCAAAGTATGTGTGTATGCATGTTTGAGTGTATGAATTTATTTTTCAATTCAGTAATAAACTGGAAAAATATTTCTACAAAATTTAAAAAAAAAAAAACAAAAAAAAAAAAAAAACTTTAAAAATTTTATTCTATTTATTACTGGATAATTTCAGAAAAGTTCAATAAAATTGTATAATTAGCTTAATTTAAATTTTTGTCTTTTTTAATCATTTTACCATAAGTAAAGTAATAAAGCCACTAAGACACAAGGGGTTAGACTGTTAAGACTGTTCGAGAATATGAGAGAAAAAAAAACACTATTATAGAGAGATAACAATAAAAGGACAGGAATCAAGAAGACAGTAGATAATGAAAATTTTTGAAGTTCTAACTTTACTGGAAAAAGCAGGAAAAGAATTTCCCAAGCAAGAAATGTTAGCATGTAACTTACAGTTACATCTAGCCATTTCAGTTATAAAATAAGACCTAACTGCCAATGTGGTACTCCATTCAAATTCATAAACCCTAGGTACAAAAGATGAAGGTTCATCAGAACAATTCCCATGAAAGTATTTGTAGAAAAGGTACAAGAAAACTGTTACCACAATGGGGAAAGTGACTGAAGCTGAGATGCCAGGTCAAGACCAATAAAAGCTTTATATCCAAGTTTTTTTTTTAACTTAGCTTATTGGGGGTTGTCAGATACAGGTAGGGTGTGATGGACAAAGAATAAGTTCTTTTTCTTTTTTTTGTTTTTTTAAATAATCATTGGGATTACCATATATACTCATGTATCACATAACTTTTGAAAACCTAATTTTGAAGCTAATTTTAAGGGGGTCACATCATACATGAGATATAAAGTTAGTGTATGTACTGCTGGCCTTGGCTATGCCATTGACCAAATTATATCTCCATTTACTGTAGTCAAATTAGCTTCAAAATTGTCTTTTAAAGGTTGCATAATATGTGAGTATATATGGTAGTTGGAGAATATTGAGTGCCTGGTTAATTACTAAACAGAAAGATTTTGACAAATTAGAATATATATGCCAAAATATTCTGGTTAATTTGTGAAAAAAAAATTGCTAATTTTTAAAAACTTTGTTTAAATTTAAATTCCTTATGTTTAAAGATTTTATGTTAATTTTCAATTTTTCAGTTGGAGATGTATAAACCTATTGAAAATCTTGTGGATAATATGGTTACCATGGGAAGTTTGTATGGTGGGAATAACTACATGTTGGCAACCCAGTATCGCAAAGTAAGGACATTGTTTTTTTTTTTTGTTTTTTTTTTTTTTATTGAAAAAAAAAACAATTAAAATCTCAGAAAGTTTTTGAAATCATTTCTTACTTTATATACAGGATTATTAAAAAAAAAAAATGAACCAATTTATGGTGCATTGCTTCAGTTCTCAATCATTGTCATGGAATGAGTCAGTGATCATTTGAAAAAGGAGTTTTCTAAGTTTTGAATGGCTACCATAGGAGTGTTGTAATCACATCGTATCTCTTGCAACATTTGTTTACCCCTGGAATAGCAAGTCCTCAGCAAAAAGCATTTAACATTCTCAAGTTTGTGAACACAAATACAGTTGTCACGGTGCAGTGTGCTTTTCAAAGGCACATCAATTTTCCACATTAATCCGCTCTCTCCTAAGAACATTCAACAGTGTTTTAAACAGTTTCAAGAGAGTGAGTGTCTGTGTAAAGGGAAAAGTCCAGGATGACCATGAGTTTCATATGGACAAGTGGCAAAAATCTGTGCTACACTTGTGGGGAGTTTGCAGAAGTCCACAAATCAAGCTTGCTGTGAGCTTGCTATCTTTCAATCCACTATCTGACATGTGCCATGAAGACTTCTACATTTGAAACCTTACATTCAAGCACTTACCAAGACCTTGCTCTTTGTGCTTGGCCTGCGAAATCCCCAAACCTCACAGTCTGTAATTTTTTTTCTTTAGAGATATGTAAAAGATCGTGTTTATGTTCCACAAACTACCCATTAACCTTGATGACATTAAACATTGAATAGCAACAGTGATCAACTCGGTCGATTGTGATATGCTTATACGTGTCCAGGAAGAATTCTCTTATTGCATTGATATTGCCCATACTGCAGGTGGTGGCCACATTGAACATATGTAAGACAGGAAATAAAAGTTGATTGTGAGTAGAATACTTGTGACTTGTCTGGAGTTTTTTATTGCTTTTCCTTATTAAAATATTGTATAATGAAATTGGTTCATTCTTTTTGAATAACCCTGTATTTGTTTTTTTTTTGTTTTTAATCATTTCATCCTAAGCAAGGGAATAAAGCCACTAAGTCACAAGGGGTTACTGGGGGTAAAAGAAAATGAGAAGACTGAAAGATGAGAATCACCATGACTGAAATTAATTAGTTCAGTAGAAAGGAAAGTAGTCAATAATGCAGAGTGTTACAGTTAATTGCATTTATTTTCTCTTTCTTCAAAATGAATCAAAATAAATGAAATGAATAAACAAAAGTGACTTATACTGTATGTATAATATGCAAACTGAAGTAAGGTACATACTATAGAGCTGATTTTCAAATTTGTTGTCATATAGTAAGAAAATGAGTAACTACTGACACTGAGGTTCGAGTGTGACACTCTGGACTTAAGAATATATACTTTCCGCCAAGTGTATAAATAGTGGTGTCAGGCTACTGACTGCATTGATTACTGAGTGAATATAGAGTGGAACTATCCAGTCGAATTAGTGTGAATTATTGTATGGTGATGATTTGGGTTTTGATTTGGGATTTACTGGATGTTAAGCTGAACCACGCTACTAACAAGGTATTCACTGAAATGGTTACTTATCTTTGGTTGACTTTTGCTTCTTTGTTCTTAAGTATTTATTTGCTGTTGTAATTAAATACTGTTTTATCTTAACATTGAAGTCTTGAGTTATACTTAATTATTAACAGCCACTGTACATCACAAGATTTGTATATTATGTTCACTACACTACTGCGTAAACATTTAAAAAAGAATTGGAAATATTACAAATTTAAAAGTGACATTAAAATTATTTGAAGCTGGTTGACACAAAGTTATTACATACAAAGTATGCCTGAAATAGCAACCTATTAAAAATTATCACTTATCGACAAATTTTTTACTCTTTGATAAGACTTCATTATTTTTTTATATTAAAAATTAATTTGAACTTTTCTTCTCGGGATCATATGACAAAGGTTTGATATTTTCAATTTAACTTGATTCATTTTGCTTAATATTCTAATGATACAATTGCAACATACCTTGCTTAATAATCTGTCAAAAACACCTGGACTTCCAACCAGTTATAAAATCTCATAAAATAAAAAATGAACAATAAATCCAACCATACTTTTAGACTCTATTAAGACTGAAAAGTGAAGAATGGGCAACTCCTGCCCATGTATCACACAAATAATACATTTTTGGCCTGGTCTTGCTCTTGTAGAGGATAGGAGCTGGAGTCAGGTACTTACTGGAGTGATACAGTGAACTGAACAATTTTCCAGTATCATTAGTGATGTATCGTATGTACAAGTTCCACTTGAGGTCTGTGTTGAGTTGTTAAATGAGTAGTGGTTGTATTTTATCATAAAAAACCTTAAAAAAAATCACTTTTCAACAAATTGCTTATTAACAATGCTTCTCAAAACAACGTTGTTGATAATAAAATAAAACTAGTTTTAAAGGATTTAAGAAAATAAAGCACAAATAGCAACCCTGCTATAAACAAAAAATAATTTCTCTTGTGGCCAGATAAACCCAAACTTTAAAAATGATGAAAAAAAATCAGTTATAAATAAAATTTATAGATACATATCACTTAATATTGTAAATATTTATTTATTTTTTTTTTTTAAATCATTTCACCTAATCAGTGCTACTAAAACATAGGGTGTTATAAGGAGGGAAAGAGAATAAGAAGACTTTAGTGAGGAGAGGTGAGGAAAAGGACAAAAAAAGAACAGGTTTCAGGGAAATAAAAGGTGGTGTTTGGCATTGCCTTCAAATTTTTGAAGATTGTAAGTGGCATAGGAGCCAGAAATCAGAAGTGAATTCCCCGAGTGAGAAGCATGAGAAAAGATAGTATTAGAACAGAGCATGCAGTTGCATCTAGCTAGTTCAGTAGTAAAATGGTGAGAACTAGTTGTCAATCTAGTAACGCTGCTCAAATGCAGACAGTTAAGGTACCAAAGAGAAAATCTTATCAGAACATTTACCATGAATTCAGAAAAGCTTTTGACTGTGTTACATACAAGGTATTGTAAATAACAATGAACAAATATATGCCATGGCTAAGAACATTATCAATACTGTCCAACAGTTGTATGGTAATTTTCCAAGAATAGTTTAGATGTGACACAAGGCTGAAAGTGTGGAGCACCCACTGAGGATTGAACTCAATACTCGGTCGTAATTGACCTAGTGAGACAAGCTTGTTAAGCATAAGACCACATTGAGGTACTCCTATTTAACATTTGTATGATAAGGCAAGTAACACTATCATTCTGAGGCCCATAATACGGTACCATTTACGAGTTGGTGTACATTAAGTCTGTCTTCTGTCCCCTACACTTTTTAACATCTTCAATAAATGCATCTTGAGTGACTCTTGAGGAACACCTGCGCAGTTGGTGTTGGAGGTCATAATATAACAAAGCTGGGAGTGAAAGAGAATGAGAAGACAGAATATAGTGATTGGCATTGCATTTAAATCTTTGAAGATTGTAGGGGGAAGGTAAGTAAGAAATCGGGTGAGAGTTCCACATTTGAGAAGTGTAAGTAATAAATAGAAGATACGGTCGCCTCTAGCTAGTTCAGCAGTAAAACAGTGAGACCTACTTGCCAATCTAGTACTACGATCACATTCGGATGGTTGAAGTACCAAAGATGAAAGATTTGCCATGAAAAATTCAGGAAAGCTCTTTGACAGTGTGTGAACCAAGGCATTGCAAGCAATAATGAATAAATATGTGATGGCTAAGAAGTTTATCCATACTATCTAACAGTTTATGATGATTTTCTAAGCATAGCTTAGATGTGGCACAAAGCCGAAGGCATGGTACGTCTGGTGAGGATCAAACTCAATACTCAGTTGTAATTGATCTAGTGAGACAAGCTTGCTAAGCATAACACCTTGTCAAGGTACCCCTATCCAACTGTTGTATAAGGCAAGCAACATCATTACAGAGCCCATAATATGGTACCATTTACGAGTTGGTATGCACTAAGACTGTCTTATGTCCCCATCACTTTTTAACGTCTTCCATGAACACATCTTGAGTGACACTCTTGAAGAACACCTGTGCAGTTGGTGTTAGAGATCGTAATATAGCAAAGCTGGGAGTGAAAAAGAATATAGCAATTGGTCTTGCATTTAAATCTTTGAAGATTGTAGGTCCCTGAGACGCAGTGTGTTTGTAGAGAATTTTGCTGTCCTTGTGTTTTTGTATTAAACGTCTGAATTCCAAAAATACTAAAATAAAAATAAAGAAAATATGGATATGCCTTTTAAATAAATCATTTGTATTTACAAACATATCTTTAGTTGAGTTAGTCTTTGGGTAAGTGGTACACAGTCAGAACTGTGGTTTGGAAAAGACTTTTATCATCAGCAAAGATTCACTGATTGGTCAAGCTTTTGTTGTTGGAAATGATTCGTTTGAAGTTGTCAGCACATGTGTCTTTCAGTATGGGCTGGGGAGAAAGAAAAGGCTATGTAGCTGTGTCTTCTCATGTTTGAACGATTTGGAGACAGTCACATCTTTGCTCTTGAAAGTTGAAATCTGTTGGTTTTTATGAGAAAGTTTTCCCGGAAGATAGAGAAAAATAGGGTTTTCATTTTCTCTGATTGGTCAAATATTAAACATGATGGTGTTAATTTCTAACCAATACACTCTATGAATTAAAATGTGTGTATTGTATTGTGGAATGTTTTTGGCATATTTGTATACATTGTCTGTTATTGGGTAGAAAATAAAGTTTAGGCATGTTTTAATATAGTATGTATTTGGGTATGTAATTGTGTTAAAAATAGCATTTCTTTCATATAAGTTAGTCTTCTGATGGTTAGCATCAGCCATGGTGATGGAAGCCAAAAAAAGGGTTCTCTGAGATGATTAGAAGAGAGCAGTTTTGTTTTGGTGGTGTTAAAATTAACAAGCCATTTCTTGCCCTATTTATAGAAAAGGGAAAGGCACAGGGAAGCTATATAATAGCAGTGGGGAAAGTAATTGAAACTGATATGCCAGGTCAGGAACCTAAAGCATTGCAGATTCTTTGGCTGTGTCAAGAATCTCAGGATACATAACGGAATCACAAGAGCAGATGCATCAGCAATATTCAGTACACAGATGAATGATAGACTTTTAAATGTGTAAGATAGATTCTGGCGTGAAAAATTTTCTAGTACGACAGATTGAGCCAAGTTTCTTAACAACAGATTTGCTATAATCATTCCACTTTATGTCAGTGGAAAATGTTACTGAGATTTTGCAATGCATTACTCTCTTGGTGCTTATCGTCAACCATGATGATGGATGGAGAAAAGTGTTGTCTGAGATTTTTAATGAGAGCAATATTATTTTGGAGGTGTTAAATTTTTTTTCCCCTAGTTAAAAAAAAAAAAAAAAAAAATTGAGGGTCATTTTCAAGATCAGCTGCCAATTTAACATCTTCAAACCTATCCCATTTTTGGATATCTTGATATCAGTTAAATCCATTTAGTAACACGACTCTCCAAGTTTTTGTTCCCTCTCCTGTGGCCAGTTATTGAACTCACAGCTCATTGGGTCAAGTCACTTTTTGGATTACTTGGAGACACACTGAGGACCATTAAGTGAGTTCCATTCTGTTTAATTCTCTGTTTGAGTTTCTTGATGGAATAAAATTTGTATTTGGTTAATCAAATCTCTGATCATTTTTCTTTCTCTTTCTCTTTCTACAGCACATCCTGAATCCAGATGAGTATATCCCACCGAAGAAAATGCTTGAGTTCTCGCGCCAACATCAAGAAGATGTGATTATTCAAAAGATAGAGAAAGACGTTCGAGAATTAACAAATGATGAGGCGGATTTAGAGGTTTGAAATATATCCTGTTAAAAATTAAAAACAAGATGTCAATTGAAAACCGAAGAAATAAAAATGCACTGAATATATTTCAATAATAATTCATGCTTAAAAAATATGTAGCCTCTTGCTTTAAGCTTTTCTGAATATTGAGTATCTCTGTAAGACGTTGTTAAAGTGAACTAAATTGTATAAGCCATTATTGAGCTTACTAGTATCTCTATCCAATAATAGTTGTTGCATTTGCATACATATGTAAAAATTGACTCTATTTACATCGTTCGGACTGTTGTCCTTTTCTTTATTGGTATATTCACTAGGTTTTAGTTGTTGTATGCTCTGACCTTCTTTAGGTGGTATACAATGGGATTTCAAACCAAACTCCTTATTTAGTCCACAGGAGTAGATTGTTCTAATTCCACATGCTTTGCTTTTTTTTTTTTGATATCAGAATATCAGTTAATTTCATTTAGTAACTCAACTGTCCAAGTTGTTGCTCCCTCTGCTCTGGCCAGGTATTGAACTCACACTTCTTTGGGTCAAGTCACATTTTGGATTACTTGGGAACACCTGACCCAGTGCGCAAAAGCATTGGTTGAGTTTTTCTTTCTCTTGCAACCCCCTTTCTTTCTTTCTTTCCTTCTTTCTTTCTTTCTTTCCTTCTTTCCTTCTTTCTTTCTTTCTTTCCTTCTTTCCTTCTTTCTTTCTTTCTTTCTCTTGCAACCCCCTTTCTTTCTTTCTTTCTCTTGCAACCCCCTTTCTTTCTTTCTTTCTTTCTCTTGCAACCCCTTTTCTTTCTTTCTTTCTTTCTTTCTCTTGCAACCCCCTTTCTTTCTTTCTCTTGCAACCCCCTTTCTTTCTTTCTCTTGCAACCCCTTTCTTTCTTTCTCTTTCCCCTTTCTTTCTTTCTTTGCAACCCCCCCTTTCTTTCTTTCTCTTGCAACCCCTTTCTTTCTTTCTTTGCAACCCCTTTCTTTCTTTCTCTCCCTTGCACCCCCTCTTTCTTTCTTTCTCTCCTTGCACCTTCCTCTTTCTTTCTTTCTCTCCTTGCACCCTTCCTCTTTCTTTCTCTCTCCCCTTTCCCTTCCTCTTTCTTTCTTTCTCTCTCTCCCTTGCACCCTTCCTCTTTCTTTCTTTCTCTCTCTCCCTTGCACCCTTCCTCTTTTTTCTTTCTCTCTCTCCCTTGCACCCTTCCTCTTTCTTTCTTTCTCTCCCTTGCACCCTTCCTCTTTCTTTCTTTCTCTCCCTTGCACCCTTCCTCTTTCTTTCTTTCTCTCCCTTGCACCCTTCCTCTTTCTTTCTTTCTCTCCCTTGCACCCTTCCTCTTTCTTTCTTTCTCTCTCTCCCTTGCACCTTCCTCTTTCTTTCTTTCTCTCTCTCTCCCCTTGCACCCTCCTCTTTTCTTTCTTTCTTTCTCTCTCTCCTTGCACCCTTCCTCTTTCTTTCTTTCTTTCTCTCTCTCCTTGCCCCTTCCTCTTTTCTTTCTTTCTCTCTCCCTTGCACCCTTCCTCTTTCTTTCTTTCTTTCTCTCTCTCCCTTGCACCCTTCCTCTTTCTTTCTTTCTTTCTCTCTCCCTTGCACCCTTCCTCTTTCTTTCTTTCTCTCCCTTGCACCCTTCCTCTTTCTTTCTTTCTCTCTCCCTTGCACCCCTTCCTCTTTCTTTCTTTCTCTCTCCCCTTGCACCTTCCTCTTTCTTTCTTTCTCTCTCTCCTTGCACCCTTCCTCTTTCTTTCTTTCTCTCTCTCCCTTGCACCCTTCCTCTTTCTTTCTTTCTCTCTCTCCCTTGCACCCTTCCTCTTTCTTTCTTTCTCTCTCTCCCTTGCACCCTTCCTCTTTCTTTCTTTCTCTCTCTCCCTTGCACCCTTCCTCTTTCTTTCTTTCTCTCTCTCCCTTGCACCCTTCCTCTTTCTTTCTTTCTCTCTCTCCCTTTTTCCTCTTTCTTTCTTTCTCTCCTCCTTGCACCCTTCCTCTTTTTTCTTTCTCTCTCCCTTGCACCCTTCCTCTTTCTTTCTTCTCTCCCTTGCACCCTTCCTCTTTCTTTCTTTCTCTCTCCTTGCCCCTTCCTCTTTCTTTCTTTCTCTCTCTCCCTTGCACCCTTCCTCTTTTTCTTTCCTTTAGTAAAGATATTCCAGAATTTTTCCTAAATTTATTTGTATACAGATTGCAATGGATAAATTGTTATCTAAAAGTGAAAATAACACTGACATCTAATTTTAACAGATTTTTTTACCAAAATTACACAAAAATATCTTCAAATACTAGAGAGTAAATTTGTTTGGTAAAGTCACCATTGACTTCAACCATGGCCTCCAGACAACTTTAGAATCTCCTGCATCTCTTCTGTACATTCTCCTCGTTTAAGTTGATGGGTGAATCCTGCCATAATCCTTGCCTTCAGTTCATCTTTGGTATTACAAGGAGTTGGTCTCTCGCTCAACTGTGCAGCACTGATGATAATCAGGGAGATTGTAGTCTAAGGAGTTAGATGGCCAGATGTCAAGGGCATGATGTGGTTGCAGAAATTGTCTGACAACCATGACTGGGTTCTCCTACTTGTGTCCTGTTGCCAGACATAGGGTTTTCCAGCAGTCACCTTCTTGACCCAGGGCAGCACTACTTCCTCAAGGCACTTAATGTGGGCCTCCATGTTGACTCTGGGGCCCTGCTGGCAGATGAATGGAGACATAACATTGCCATGACTAGTGATCACTTCAAACACCTTCATAATCACCATTAAACTCATCTAAGTCTTTCCGAATCCTCTGCACTGTCCTCAGATTGACACCCAAACATTCTGAAAAGTTTGTGTTGGAGCTTCCAACACAAATGCCAAGCAGTACAGCATGCTGTTTCCAAATTTCTGGTAGAGTGAATTGTGTCATGGTGCTCTTTTTCTTACAGTGTCTAACTGACCCTAATATACTGTGCAGTTGACAAAAACAAACAACATGCATGTGCAAAATTAAAAATATAAACAATTTAGACATCACACCCTGTATTTTAATATTTTTTAACAATGTGTTGATGTTAAACAGAAAAGAAATCTCTCTAACAATCAGCATTAATTTTTTAATCGTTTTTTTTTTTTTTTCTTTTTTTTTCTTTTTTTTTTGCAAAGACTTTTCTACTGCAATTTATTTTCTATTCATTTGATTTCCAGGAAAAAATGGAACGTTTGGTAATTCTTGATCGACTTATCCAAGAGCAAAGTTTCAGTGTAACTAGCCTCAGAGAAGACAAGGTCAGTTCACTACACCTTTTCTGTAACCCATAACTTCTTGGTGTCAATTTAAACTGATGCCAAGAGGCTATGACATTTTTTTTTATCATTCATTGTGACTATTTTTGTATTATGAAATGAAGTAGATGTACTGATTAATAAGAATATTTGTGGATGAATGATTAACACAAGACTTAAATCTTTCATTATTTAACATTACAGTCAGTTTGCATTGAACGGTGTGTGTGGATAAGTGGACCCAGAATCTCAACTCAATACAGGCATTACATTCTTGTTTGTGTCTGAGAGACTGACCTACGCCTCTTTGGGGTGTTTTTTTTATATCTATCTCTCACATGCTTGTTCCCATATTTCCAAGGATTACAGCCATATCACATTGAAACACCAGTCCTTGTATGATTCCTGAAGTTAAGCAATATCGAACCTGATTAGTACCTAGATAGGTGATCTCTTGAGAATACCAGGTGTTGTATGTGTAGGTGGTGTAATGGATAACTGCTTGGAATTGGTTGAGTTGAGTTTCAATTCCAGTTGGGTCTGTTTTATTCACTTATGTACCAATTCGCTTGGGAAAGGTATGTATCAACCTCTTAGTAGGACTCTTCAGTAAATCATTATCTCCAAAAAAAAAAAAAAGTTTTTACAATCTGAATATATTTTCTGGTTTTAAATAACCTGCAAAAAGTTGATAATCTGTAACAAAAAAAAAAAAATCAGTCAAACCCAGACCTTTCAGGTTAACCTACTGGTATGCTTGGCTTCTTTGATGGTCTGGTGTGGTGTTGAGGGCATTGTCTATTCTGCCATCATGCTGTACTTATTTCAGATGAAAACTTGGAAAAATTTGAAACGTATTTCACTGAAATTTTAGTTTATATTTTTGTAATTATAGCTCAGATATATGGCAGTGCGGTCAGGTAGGGGTGTCATTTTAAACTAACATAAGAAAGATATTAGTTAAAATAAAAATGTTTATATTTTATCACTGTTGATTTCAATCCAATAAGAATGCCTCAGAACACTTGCCCCTTCCCTTTTATAAGTAAAAGTACACAAATGCATGCTGGGATATTTTTCTTAACCAATAAAACAGGCTGGTTTGCAGTTTGACATGGTTTGTCCAGATGTACTTTGTCTAGAAGACAATGTTATATTCATTTGTCCGAACTTCCTTTAGTGTGTCAATGCCAATTCTTAATTTGAACTTTTTGCCTTCTTACTGTTAATTTACATTGCATATGTTGTTTGCTTATTTGCTTGGTATTATTTCATTTTTGCCTTGTTCCTTTTTCTTTTTATTGCAAACTTTGTTAATTCTGTTTGTTGGACAGTTCTGTTCTTTATTTTGCATTTGACCATGGCTACTCACTCCACATTCCAGGACTTTGTTGTTGGTTATTCAGTATTTCCATTTGATGTTCAACATTGAACAAAGCTTTTGTTGGTGAAAGAATTCTCATTTTTGCTGTAAAATTACAGGAACTGATTCAATAAATTTCTCTTTCTTAAATTCTGAGAATGTGATATTTCATGATGCTTTGACTGTTATTCCATGTTGATTTCAATCTTTACTGGGAATGATTGCAGAGCACTTGAGCACTTTTATAAGCAGAAGTCCACAAATGCATGCTGGGATATTTTTCTTAACCAATAAAATAGTCCGGTTTGCAATTTGACATAACTCAGTCCAGATCTGCTTTTCTAAAAGACAGGACACTATGTTCACTTGTCGGAACTTGTTTTTGTGTGTCAATGCCAATTCTTAATTTGTGAACTTTTTGCCTTCTTACTGTTAATTTACATTGCATATGTTGTTTGCTTATTTGCTTGGTATTATTTCATTTTTGCCTTGTTCCTTTTTCTTTTTATTGCAAACTTTGTTAATTCTGTTTGTTGGACAGTTCTGTTCTTTATTTTGCATTTGACCATGGCTACTCACTCCACAATCACTTTTCATTTATTAAAAAAATCATTGTCTCTCTTCTTCATCGTACATTACTTACAATGTCTTACATTTGTCATCTGTTGAAAATTAGCAAAAATGCTAAAAGCCTGAAACTGAATTAATTACAAAACAGCATGTCGGGGAAGGTAGAATTACTTTAATTCTGGAATTTAGTTTTGAATCCAATTTTGAAACATTTATGCTTGAGTGAAGCATTATTTTCTGATTCAATTGTCTGTCAACAAAAATAATTAGATTATTCCAAAAGTGTATATTCTGTAATGGTGGCTTTTGTACAAGCTTAGTGTAGTGCAAGTTGCATGCTGATTGGTCGGTCTGGAGGATGCTATTTGACTGGGTAACTGAGGACACAGTGAAGAATGCTAATTGGTCAGTCATCCGTGGTGTTGATTTGATAAAAGAGAGCTGAAGCAGCAAGAAGGGAGACAATTTTTAAATTGGTGGCGTGTGCAGGAATTCAAGAACAGAGGATTGAAAAGGAAATATTTAGTGTTGTACGAACGGTGTCAGAGGAACACAAGCTCATTTCCTCTACAAGCTATTTCGGCATTCCTCCCAATCATGGCAGACAGATATTTGGCTAATACCCGAACCTGTTACCAATTTACCAATTGTAGAATAGTTTGTGAACTCTGTGAGATGAGGAAAATCGAGCGGATACTGCCACTGCACTTGCACGCCAGGGCTATTGCTGTGTACTGGCAACTGACAAAGGAGCAGAGGTCAGATGCAGAGCAGATTAAGCAAGCTCTTATAACCGCATATGTGATGGATTCATTCAATGCGTTTGGTGAATTTGTGTCATTTCACTCAGGGGAAACCGTAGACAAATTTCTATCAGAATCAAAATGGTTAGCTTTGCTGGTTAAGGACCAATTGCCCGAGTGATGGATGATGTGCACATTCATTTCTGGACTGCCGTAACAAGTCAAGCAACTTTTCCGGTCATCATCCAGAATGGACACCATGACTCTGGACCAGATTTTCACTCTGGCTCGGCCTGTTATGACCGATAGCAAGGAGCCCAATGAGGTGGTCGCTGCATCTGCTTAACAAACTCATAATGGAATTACTGCATGGACAGGTGGCATCATTTGTTTTAAGTGTTTTGGTCCCAGCCACCTGGGAAAGGATTGCAGGCAAGGCTACTCAGGGAACAGACACCTGGGTACAAAGATCTTGCCACAAGATACAGTGTTTTTGGTGTAACAGGGTCGGGCACATTTTATCAGAGTGCCAGGTAAATGGCTCTGGGGAACAGATGTCAGTGCCAGTCTTCTCAAGTGAATAAAGAACATGCCACTGCCTATCATTGAGGTGGCCATAGACGGAAAGAATTGTATGGCCCTGATTGACTCTGGCTGCTTGTGGATACTGGTGAACAAATACGCATGCTACCATTGGCGACCAATGGAGACAGAAGCCCTCATGGCTGATGAAGGCCTTAACATGCCATGAACATGGCAGTATTACACTGAACATTAGTCATGCTTAACTCATGTGCATTGATACCCTAATTGTGGGCAGACCACTACTTGGTTTTGATCTTCTTCTTGGGATTGATGGGATCAGAGAAATAGGAGGGGTGCACATAACTCACTCAGGAGAAGTGCACTCTTTTTAAGAAAGCATGCCCCAGTGTGCTGCTATTTCCATCAATGAGCCTGACTTAAGTGCAGAGTTCGATGGTTGTAAAAATGTATGGATGTCCTCATGGAAGTGGACGAATGGACAACCACTTATAGCCCTAAAGAATAGAATGCTAGAATATGCAATACCAGACTATGCATGAAACAAATATGAGATGTAGCTCCAGCCATGGCTGGATAATGGGTGGCTTTGGCCATATCATGAAGATGAACTTGGCCCACCTAAGTGTCTGATTCCATTAATGGCACTTATACAAGAGAGCAAACAGAAAGTCCACCCAGTCCTAAATTACCAAGAGTTAAATGGCTTTGTGGAACTGTATAACGCTAACTCGGAGGTGTGTGCACAAAAGTTGTGGGAATGGCGACAATTGGTGGCTAATTATTGGACTTACGAAGGGCATATCTGTAGATACATGTTGACAAGGTTCTGTGGCCCTATCAAACTGTAATATTGAAGGGTCAAAGATACTGCCTCACTCAACTGGGTTTTAGTTTAAATCTGGCGCCTCTCATAATGAAAGCTGTAGTTGACGCAGTACGATCTCAAGTTGAAGCAATTAGGAATACCACATTGGTATATATTGATGACATTTATGTCAATGAGAGCTTGGCATCTGTCATACATGTCAGAGAGCATCTGTCCATTCACGGACTAGTTTGTAAGGAACTGGCAAGATTGGAAAATGGAACTAAGGTGTTGGTCTTGCAGGTCTGAAGTGATAACAGCACTCTTCGATGGTGAAAAGAAGATCATTTACTCTACAGAAAAATATTTAAAAACATTCTAATAATAACAAACTGACTGCCACAGGTCAATTCCAAAATATGACCTCAGATGCCAACTTTATAATATTGATTTTTCATATTTTGTTTAGTATTAATCCAACTCCTCTTTCATTTTTCTCTCTGTCTGCCTATTTGATCCTGCATCTGTTACTGATGAAATGTCCATTATTTGCCAACCTCTTTTCTTATCCACCTAAAATATTAACCTTTAACCTTTTCATTTATATTTTTTCTGATTTATATTTTCTAAGTGGCTGCATTGATATAGCGTTCTGACATTCCAGTCACATGAACTATTTTTGTTTTATGTGAAAAATCGCTGGTGACACCTATTGCTCATATCTTCCCTTACCAAGTGAGGGATCAATTCCAAGGACTCTGACCCCCTTCACACCTTTAGTCTTTGTAGTTTTGCTAACAGGTGATACGTATTGAGCATGTAACTTACTGGGCATGGAGTTATTCCCAATAGATTTAATTTAACCCCCGCCATATTGTTATCTCTGGTAATAACATTGTTGATAGCTATGACAGTGGTAATATACCGGAAAACGTAAGTAGATTTTTTTTCATAACACTTAAGAAGCCAGGTGCAAATAAATGTGAACTCCATTGGACTATCAGCCTAGTGAGCCACATAACAAAACTCATCATCCGAATTCTGATGAATAGAGCACTTAGAGGAAAGAGGCTATAAAATAGGACAAGAACAGTGTGGTTTTGTTAAAGACACTGAAACAGGGAATGTAATATTTATGCTCAGAATGATATCAGAAAGAGCAATACAAATGCAAAACGGTAGCCATGTCTTATAGATTTACCTGGAAGTGTTTGATAAAGTATGCCATAAAGAACTATTTGAACTGCTAGGTAAGCTTGATTTATTTGGGAAGGATATTAGAATAATCCACAACTTAGATTGGGAGCAAACCACCTGCTTGCGGATAGAAAATGAGTTCAGCAGATATAAAAAAAAATAAAAAAGTGTGTAAGACAAAATGTGTCTTCTCGCTGGACTTATTCAACCTTGACCTATACAGTGAGGTGATCCTGAGAGAACTAGAAGTCCTATCAGGATTTATTATTGGTGACTACAATATTAACAAGATTAGATATACAGATGACACAGTGTTGATAGCAGACATAGAAAGGAGACTACAGGAACACCTACAGATGGTAGTGAAGGAAAGAGAATAAAGGATGAAACATTAACTGTAAGAAGACAATGTATCGTTGTTAGCAAAAGGAACAGTCCAAGATGTGAATTACAAATCAAGCAAGTAAAAAAAAAAAAAAAAAAAATTAAATATCTAGGAAGTGTTTTAACAGAGGATGGAAAATGCAACACTGAAATTCAAAGGTGCATTGGGATAGCGAAAGATGCCTTCCAAAAGCTAAGCAAAATATTAAGAAACAGCGAAACTTTTTTAAAAACAAAGAAAAACGTACTGAACTGTTATGCAAGATCACTCCTTTTTTATGACAGTGAATTCTGGACAATCTTGCAGATGAAGAAGTGATTTGAGGCAACAAAAAAGTGGTTCTACAGAAGGATGCTGAGAATACTATGGACATAACGCTTAAGCAGTGACAGTTCTAGAGAAAATAGAAACAAAAGATACTTATACATACCATCAGGAAGAGAAAGTTGAAATTTCTATGGCATATCATGAGGAAAGAAAGCTTGGAAAATTCAACACTTACAGGACATTGAAGACAAGAAGACCAGATGAATGCAACACATAACCTTACCTAGTGACCTTATGCAAATGGATGGGAGAACAGGGATTAGGAGAGATAGCAAATAGATAAATAATAAAGGACAGAAAGTTGTGGAGAGCCATGATCACCTATGTCCTGAAGGGACTGTAGTGAACAAGATAATAAGGTACCCCGGAAAAAAGTTCGTGTTTTGTGTGCGATCTGCTGAAGAAGGATTACCAAAAAGTAGTCAGCAAAAATCTTATAGCAAAGAAAACGGCGACTTACCTCGTCAACCCAAGCGACAGCGCGTCGCGTGTATTCTGTGACGGAAAAAGAAACAAGTCCGTTGCATGAGTCGCTATAAGAGTATATTGATATACAAATTACGGAGCATCCTATCCCAGCTGTCGACGAATGAAAAAAAAAAATAGGTTCTGCCGATAAAAGCAGTTGGTGTTTTCGATTCAAGAGAGGAAAATTCGGGCATTTTTGGCTATGGCGTTTGTAGGAGAGTGATTTATTTTCCTGACTGGTTACACGCATCGTGATTTAAGATAGTACCGGCGAATCAAGTTTTCAGCATTTCTTTCTGCCCCGATACTCGAGTCGGTACTTAGTGATTTTTCTTTGTGTTGCGAAAATAATTTGCAACAAATTTGCTTTGAGAACGCTTACGCGTACAGGGACAACAGTACATGGGAGATGTTCGTTATCAGAAGATTGTGATTTTTTTCTTGAGACGTGTCTTTTTGAAATATTTTATTTGCAATTAGATTGACACAATAAAAGTAATTTTTTTGAGACAGTTTCACTTTTTATGTTACAATCATAGTTTTAACAATGAAGCTGCTTGTTATCCATGAGAGTATTCATTGATGCGATTTGCATCTACACCTTCAGGAGCAATGATGACTGCAAAACTGGCATTCAGGTTTGGTGCCATAGAAAAATACAATTTGTCACACATCTTTAGAAGAGAAGTAGATAAATTTCTTTATTTTTAAATCCACTTATTTAACTGAGTTTTGTAGGAATTTTGTCTCCAGTCCATCTTTGAGTAAACTTAAGTGTCAGTATTTTGGGGATTTATGTCTACAGCTGCATTTGGATTTGGAAATATGAAATGTTGTTAACGATTTTCAATAATCATAAAAGTAGAATCTTTTGACCACCCAAAAAGCTGAATTAGTTGTCTCAAAACTTCCAGAACACAAGTGGATGAATAGGGGGGGGGGATCTCTGCCATTATCTATATAAGCAGAGTGAGGCAAGAAGTCCAGCAGACAGGTGTCCAATAGTGAACAGAGAAGTAGATAGGTGACCAGCGAGTGAGTACTTGCCCAGCAGCTAGTGACAGTTAAGGCGATAGCAGTTCAGCTGAAGGAAAAGGAGAATTCGTATTGTTGCTATTCTGCAAACCAGAGAATCTTCAAAATCAATTGTCATTTTTTTGTTGAATACGATCACGGCCAAGTGGACAAATCTGTGAGCATAGCAAAGTCTGGTGTATATGCAGCTATAGCTGTTATTGGATGTCATCACAGGTGCATGTGGTGAACAGCCCCATAGAAGCAAGCGAGCCAGAGTGGCTTGCATCTAGTGTTTAGGAAAATAAGGGTCTTATCTAAACGTGTCGCACGTGACATCAGCAAGTTTGCTTCGTGAAAATGGCATTACTCTCCTGTCCAGCCATTCTAGCAGTATGTGCAATGATGAGTTTTTTTTTGTACAGTCTGGCATGCTTCCACCAATGGCAAGTCGTGTGCTGATTGGTCGAATTGGAGGAGGCAATTTTCCTGTGTAACCGAGAATAACTGCAAAGAATACTGATTGGCTGGAGAAACGCGGTGTTGGCCTGATAAAAGATTGCTAGTGCCGTGAAAAAGGGGATAGAAATGTTGGCTATATGTAGTGATGTGTGAAGAAAGCAAGGATGGTGAATTGAACCAGCGATATTGTGATTTGTACAAGTGACATTGCAGCAATACAGACTTATTTAAGCTACAGTGCAGTGAATGACAAACGAGCGAAGAACGTTCACACAAATTTCGTCACACCTTAACATTACAGTTGTCTCTTTCCATTTGATTTATTTCTAATAGCTAGTCTTTTTTTTTATTTTGTTTTCAGGAAGCCCTTGAGAAGATATTGACAGACCTCCATTATGAACAGAACAGGCCATCTGACAGGTCCCAGCAGCAAATGGAACATCTTGCTAATCAGCAGCACACAGTTGACAAAGAACTTACAAGAGCCATGCTGCAGCTTGCAGAAGCTTCTAAGGTAATAGCTGTTATATTTGCAATTGTTAATTTTAATGTTAATGTTTAACCTTTTCCATGATGCAGGTGAAGATTGTCACTGTAGAATACTCTCCCTTTGCTGCTCTAGGCACATTCTGTCAACTGTTATTGCCAGTATTTTAAGCTAGAAATTGCCGTCTAATGATATAGAACAAGACTAAACTTCCATTTTTCAACACCGTTTTGAATCTAGACTCTACACTAGATATAATATTGATTAAGTCCACATTAATTTTTTTCATGATTTTTTGTAAATAAAAAAGGCTGTATCAACATCCAATAAAAGCTTTATTGAAAAGTTTTTCTTTGATTCTGACTCAAATGATGATTTTGAAGGCTTTACACAAGTGAATATTGATGGTGAAGTGATCAAAGATCCACGCTAGTCACATGAAGGAAAGTGATAATGATCACTAGTGGCTACTATCATCCATGGCTGATTAATTTTATGGAAGCTACTCTTGATTACCGGTGTATCTGATAGCCTTTCTGAGATGAATTATTTCATCTATTTATAAAAGATGAAATAAATTTATTTGTCAATGAGACAAACTGATATGCTAGTCAGGTGAAAGAAAGACCAAACAAATGTTGGTGTCTTCTTGTATGTAAACATAAGGAAGCACATTACTTTTTTGACAAAATGAAAACCTTCTTAGCCATTTTGCTCCTTATTGCACCCCCACAACTCCACAAGGAGTAATAAAAGTTAAAGTACGTTAAATTGTTAATGTATTTTTTATTTTTGTTTTTTATTTTATGTTTCAATTTTTCTTTGTATTCAATGACAAAACCTGCATGCAAAATGTAATGCATTACATCAAAATATTACTCATTCATTTTTTTTCTTTTATTAGTATCCAAAAAGTAAAATCTATACACACAATACAAAGAAAGTTATAACAATTTTAAAACAGCAGGTGTTCATGTTTTTGCACCTGTCAAAACAAAATGCATTGGCAGTGGGGGGACAATTCTTGAAAGAAATTAGCGTGGTAAAAATTAATAAGCAGTTTTCTGATGCATGAGAAAAGAGAAGCTACAAAGACAAGGTTTGGTAGAAATGCCTCCCACATAATGGTAAGATATTAAGCTAGATCAATGATTCCCAACGTGGAGCACATGCCCCACAGGTGGGTCATGGTAATATTTTGGTGGGGCATGCATAGGATGTGCGCCTTTCAGCTTATATCAACAGAATAAGGAGGCAATTCGAGAATGAGTTATTAACAATGGATTGTTTTCTAATGAGTGAGAGTGTTAGTGTTAATACATACAATGCATATACATTATGCATACATAAAAATTCAACCACTGTTGCAAGAAATTTGTTGTTACCATTTCCTTTTTCATATTGTTGTGATGAAATAACCTGACTTCCCCATTCACCATAAATGGACGTTTCGGTGGCCGATAAAGTTCGACCACAGTAAACAGTCGAGAGAGCGACAACAAAGGTCTTAGGTTGACTACACCATTTCGGTTAGCTTACTCCTACTCTGTCTCTGTATTTTGACATTCCTACATTCCGATATAAAGTATTATTATTTAAACCACCACTGGGTTTACTTTGTTATTATATTTTTTTATGAGATATAACGACTGGCGACGAGATATAACAGTTGGCGAACAAGGATTCAAAACGGAAAAAAAAAAATTTTTCAGACGCCTAACTATAACAGTTGGCGAAACGAGGATTCAAAACTTACATCGAAAAACTTTTTCGTACACTAACTATAACAGTTGGCGGACGAAGGATTGTGCAACGTATTTACTTGAAAAAAAAAAAAATATATATCGCTGAACGGATTTTCGAAAGCGGAGTCACAAGTCAAAAGGAAACTTTTTGAAAAGTAAGAATTTTTACTGTTAAATTGTGATTGAAAAATATATATTGAACCGCGACTCAAATACGAGCCGGTCTAACAATAATTATTCAAGTAAAAATTACGGGTTGTAAAAATATTACGGCTGTAAGTTGTTTGTTGAGAGTTTAACTGTCTAAAAAAAAAAAAATTTTTTTTTTGTTTTGCCGAATTCTAAAATAAGGATGGAGAAATTAGTCGAAATGACTAAAATGCTGTGTACAAGCTTGCAACAACAACAGCATCTAGAGTTGCAACAACAGCAACAAAAAACAGCACCAAGACTTACAACAACAAATATTGCAACAGCAAAAAGTCTCGAAAAAGTTTTGGAGCAGGCGACTGGAGAAAGAAAAAAATACTGTCTTTTCTGCGAAGGAATAACAAATTCATTATCCAAATTTATTTATGATCCTGATTCGGGCATTACATTTCCAGCGTGCTTTAAACGTTTCAAAACTATATTTACCAAGAGATGTCAACATTGGTCGGATGAGGAACGAGTAACATTACTAGTACAGAAACTAGGGACAAACGAGAATAGGAAGTACTCAAACTTGATACTGCCCAGACAGCCAGAAGAAGTTTCGTTTGAAGAAACTATAAGTATTCTGTCAAAAATATTTGACGAAAGGAATAGTCTGTTCCACACGCGATACAGATGCCTAAACATCGTTAAAGCAGATAACGAGGATGTTGTGACATACTGGCAGGAACAGTGAAGTCTCTGGTTGAACAATTCAAGAAAGAAATAACCAAAGATGTATTCAAGTGCCTAATTTTTCTTCAAGGACTAACTGATCCTAAATATAAAGAAATTAGGTCGAGAATATTAATAATGGTCGAGCAAGACTCGAATATAACAGTACAAAGGGTGACTGAAGAATGCCAACGTCTCATAAATGTAAAAAGGGATAATATACAAATTGAGGAGAAAAGTGTTGCTAATGTTCGACACGTAAAAACTCGAAAAATCCAAACGCCAAAAAGGTAAAAAAATGTGAGACGTGTGGAAAAAATAACTATACCAAAGACACGTGTTGGTACAAAAATAAATTCTGCCAAACGTGTGGGAAAAAAAATCATACCAAAGACACGTGTTGGTACAAAAATAAGTTCTGCCAATCGTGTGGAAAAAAAAGTCATCCCAAAGACGTGTGTTGGTACAAAAATAAATTCTGCGAATCGTGCGGAAATAAAGGGCATAAATATACGGTTTGTCGAAAGAAAAGAAAATTACAAGATGTAAGTCTGGTACTATCAGAAAAAGTAATTCAGAAAGGAAAAATAGAAAGTACGTAGATGTGCGTATAAATAATCATAAAATTACTTTCCTACTGGATTCTGGTTCAGACATAAGCATCATTGACGAACAAACTTGGAAAAAAATTGGAAGACCTAAATTATCTGAAACCAAAAAAAACCGCTAGAGGGTTTCAGGAAAGAAATTAAACTTTAAGGGAGAATTAAAGTGCAATATTTCGTTATGTGGCAAGACTGCAAAAACGAAAGTGTATGTAGTCCAAGGGATTAATTCATGTCTTTTGGAATAGACTGGATAGTACTTTTTGATTTATTTGAACTCCCGATTAACTCATTTTGCAATGTAATAAACAGTGCCGAAAAACAAAAAATATTAAAATGAAAAATTCATAAATGAATTAAAAAGAAGAATATCCCAGAGTTTTTTCTGAGGATTGGGTTTATGTACCAAAACGGAAGTCAAATTTGAACTCAAGGAAAATGTGAAACCAATTTTCAAACCTAAAAGAAACGTCCCGTTTTCCTCCTTAGACACAATTAATAAGGAATTGGAAAGACTTGAAAAAATGGGAGTGATATCTAAGGTTGAACATTCAGATTGGGCCTCACCCACAGTTTATGTTAAGAAAAAAAAAAAATACACACCAGGAGACAAAGTTTTTTTTAAAAACTTTAAAAGTGGGAAAAGCTTTTGGATGAATGGCATAATCCAGAAAAGGATTGGTAAAGTGGTCTACATGATTAAAAGTAATAAATTTATGTGTAAAAGACACATCAATCAGATTAGACCACGATATGGTGAAGAAAGTGAAAAAAGCGAAGAAGAAATTCCGATGGAAGTGTTATGCGATGCTTTTAACATGACACTACCCAATAGTGTATTGGAACCTGTATCACATGAACCAGCCTTACGGGCTGGAAAGCGGAAATTATCTTCGCCAAAAAGGATCAAATTAAAACGACTGAAAGAAGGAGCACACGGCAAAGAAGACCAGTGGAGCGTTTTAGTCCGGATCCAAAAAGAAGACGATATTAGAAGCAGAAATTTTCAAAAGGAAGAATTTCAGCTTCGGGGGGAGGTGTTGTGATGAAATAACCTGACTTCCCCATTCACCATAAATGGACGTTCCAGTGGCCGATAAAGTTCGACCACAGTAAACAGTCGAGAGAGCGACAACAAAGGTCTTCGTTGACTACACCATTGCGGTTAGCTTACTCCTACTCTGTCTCTGTATTTTGACATTCCTACATTCCGATATAAAGTATTATTATTTAAACCACCACTCGGGTTTACTTTGTTATTATATCTTTTTGCGAGATATAACGACTGGCGACGAGATATAACACATATTTAGCTGAATGTGTCTCTAGTGCTGCAAATGATTTGTTATTGAAGAAAAAAAAATTGACTAGATATCACTAAATTGGTGCCTAATATAAAATCTCTCTGTAGCAGGCAGGGTTCAAGGGATGTAAAGCTCTGGCTTTTCTTTGGGCTCTCTTCGTCTCTTCTATTTGTCTTCTGGTGTTTTCGAAGGATTTTTTTTTTTTTTTTTTTTTGTGAACTGCTTTTCTCCAATTGGATCTTTTGGCAGCTTCTGTCTCTCAATTGACTGGTTTGATTTCTGTCCTCAGCAAGGTGTTTTTGCCCCGATCCTTCAATCAACAATGTGAGGCTCCACATGGCCTCTTGCCAGATGTGAATTCTGAGAAGACAATTTGTTTGGGTAGGTGGATGTCTGGCATTCAGGCAAGGTGTCCGGTCCACTGAAGTCAGTGGCAAGTCATGGTTTCTAGTCTCTACAAATATAATTTCCAATGATAATAATCATAGTATATATAATAAATTAAATAAATAATAATTGTGAATTATATTAAATTATTTATTTATTTTTAGCAATATTTTCTTTTTTCAGTTAAACATAAAATATGCTAATTTTTTTTTTTTTTTTTTTGAGCTATGTCAAAAAACATTCTTTCCTGAGTTCAGAATACACAATCCTTACTATTATGTGGGAGATATTTCTGCAACACCCTGTACAATTCTACAATGTCGTCTACTACAAAAAAAATAGAAACCTAGACATGGAGAGAGTACTGCATCTTACCTTTTCCAAATAAAGGTGATAACCAAAGATTATTTAGTTATTATTCAGACGGCTAGAGCAGTAAAATTATAAAATTCCTTATTTCTACATCAGAGATCGAAAAGATCTTGCACAGGAATCAAAATGCATTTTAGAAAAAAACAAAAAGAAACCAGATCAACAGTTGGCTAAATCTGGACAAGCATATAATTGAAGATGTCAGGAATTTCTTTTTTTCTTCCTTTCTTTTTTCTTCCTTCTTTCGTTTTCTTTTTCCTTCCTTTCTTCCTTCTTTTTTCTTTCTCTCTTTCTATCTTTCTCTCTTTCTATCTTTCTCTCTCTCTATCTTTCTCTCTTTCTATCTTTCTCTCTCTCTATCTTTCTCTCTTTCTCTTTCTCTCTCTATCTTTCTCTCTCTCTCTCTATCTTTCTCTCTCTCTCTCTATCTTTCTCTCTCTCTCTCTTTCTCTCTCTCTCTCTATCTTTCTCTCTCTCTATCTTTCTCTCTCTCTCTCTCTCTCTTTCTCTCTCTTTCTCTCTCTCTCTTTCTCTTCTCTCTTTCTCTTCTCTCTTCTCTTCTCTCTTCTCTTCTCTTTTCTCTTCTCTCTTCTCTTCTCTTTTCTCTTCTCTTCTCTTCTCTTTTCTCTTCTCTTCTCTTCTCTCTTCTCTTCTCTTCTCTTCTCTTCTCTCTTCTCTTCTCTCTTCTCTTTTCTCTTCTCTTCTCTTCTCTCTTCTCTCTTTTCTCTTTTCTTTTCTCTCTTACCTAATGTTCACCTAATAAAAGGCACAGTAACCTCACAAGGTAGAGGGTTACTGAATGAGTCTTATGATATGAATGTGATAGTAGGAAGTAAGAGCCAATGATTATTAGGATAGGTAATGATTAACCCTAGACTAGAAGAGGTTAAGATTGTAGGAAGAAGTCTGTTCCACAAAACAGTTTTACAGTATGTAGTTTTATTTAAAGCTTTTAATGCTGTACACAGAAGCAAAAAAAAAAAAGAAAGAAGCTTCTCATGATCTATGGAATACATGAGAAGATGGTTGTTGCCATAATAATGCTTCTTTATACTATTGAATGTTTAGCCAACTTAAAAATGCCTACAAAGTATCTGATAACTGTTATATAGGAATAATGTGTCACTGCTGACACTTGAGTTTGAACATAGATTACCAGAAAGTAAACACAATCATTATTGAATTAAGTAGATCACGTGAAACACAGAGGAAACACATATATAGGAAGTTGTGTGACATTTAACTCATCACCATTCCTAGTCTATCCTCTATTACTGTTTGGATCGCTATTTCTACTCTATCCTCTATTTACTATTTCTCTATTCACATCACTATATGGATTACTATGCAAGTGAGTATTATCGAGCAAGTACTATTAGTGCGAGTGATATTCGAAGGTGGCTAACACCAGCATTGTTCAACAAGTCTCTACTACAACAAGCATTTTGAAAGTGGCAACAAGTGTTTGTTGACATCACAAAAAACAACATTTCCACTACAATGTTATGACCAATCCATTCTGGTTATCTTCATGCTGGGAATGGGGGGGTCAGAATAGAATTGAAAGAAATAATTTAATCATGCTTGCACTTCTATTTGGTCTACAAAGAGTACTGGTCATTCATGAGTGGCAAAAAGAGTACCGCTCATGCATGAGGGTGGGGGGGGGGTATACTGCTCATGCATGAGGGTGAGGGGAAGAGTACTGGTCATTCATGAGGGGTGGGGAAAAAGAGTACTGGTCATGCATGAGGGTGGGGGGGAAAGAGTACTGGTCATGCATGAGGGTGGGGGAAAGAGTACTGGTCATGCATGAGGGTGGGGGGAAAGAGTACTGGTCATGCATGAGGGTGGGGGAAAAAGAGTACTGGTCATGCATGAGGGTGGGGGAAAAAGAGTACTGCTCATGCATGAGAGGAAATTAATTTTGCCAGTAAGATGTACTTTAATTAAATATGATCATGTTCTTTTTCTTTTCTTCTCTAGAAACTTGAAGAACTCAATGCTGAAAGCAGCAAGTTGGAACATGAAATTGCTTTGCTGAGATCAAATGTCCATGGTGAACTCAGCCGCAGTCGAAGTGTTCCTTCCTTGGTAAGTTCTGTTCGATTTTTATCTCCAGATTTCTTGCTCACAATTCCATACTTTGATGCTAACTGAACCCATAGCTATCATCTCTTTGATTATCAGATATTAATAAAATTTGGCATCCTTGTATCTACATTCTTAGATTTTACAAGAACATAAACATAATGTTTAGAATTCTGTTAGATACAAACGTATTTAAGTTTGAAATGACAGCTTTTTAGCTTTAAGTCCAGTCAATCACAAGAAGTCTTCAGGTGACTCTTGGTAAGGAATGAAATTGGTCATTTATAGCATTTAATTTATATCGGTTTATGCATTAAGTGGCTATCGAGCTTTGTAGAGTTGTACAGTGACTAGAAATAATAATTTTTTTTCAACATATTTTTTATATTATGATCACAAATAAATTTTTTGAAAAAGTTAAAATTATGAAAGTTAAAAGGGAGGAGTCCACATTGCAATGTAAATTCAATGTAAATTGGTCTCTCCAAGGAAGCCAAAACAAAAAAAAAATTCATGCTTATAGATTTTACAAGAATATAACCAAAACATTCTGCTTACTATTAGATACAAAGAATGTATTTAAGTTTGAAATGGCAACTTTTTAGCTTTAAATCATGTCAGTTTAATCATAAGAAGTCTTCAGGTAACTCTTGGGAAGGAATGATTTTTGTAATTTGCAGCATTTGATTGATATCAACTTACAGTCTTGTAGGGGATGAGCTTTATTCTTTAGTTCCACCAGTTCAGATCTTTATAGCTAGGACATGCCATGCTATGTCCATGGAGTCAAATAGTCTTCCTTTCCTCAGAGTTTATATTATAAGAAGAAAGTTCCACTCTGACAGCTTTATCAAGAACTGCCACTTTGTGGAACAGACTCCCACACAGATGCTTCCCTGAACACAACAATTTTAGCCTTTTCAAGTCAAATCAGTTGTTATGTATACTCCTTATCCTCATAGACTCCACTTCATTATACTTCCTTTTACATTAATATCACACACATCATTTAGTGGTTCTTGAACCTTGTTTTGGGGGAATAATGGAGTTATACAATAGACATTACAACAAGTAATAATCAAATTTTTTTTCAGATTACTATGGATTAAGTGCTCTAGATCAAATATATTTAACAAAAAAAATTATGAAAGTTGTAAGTGTTGGGGAAGGGCCACTTTCTTCATTTTTTCAATTTTTCTTTCCACATTTTCATTTCTTCAATTTTTCTCTTCACTTTCTCAAATCTTCACTTTTTTCTTTTCTTCACTTTTTTCTTTTCTTCACTTTTTCTTTTCTTCACTTTTTTCTTTTCTTCAGTTTTTTCTTTTCTTCAGTTTTTTTTGTTCAATTTTTTCTTTTCATTTTTTTTTTTTGTTCAATTTTTTCTTTTCATTTTTTTTGTTCAATTTTTTCTTTTCATTTTTTTTTGTTCAATTTTTTCTTTTCATTTTTTTTGTTCAATTTTTTCTTTTCATTTTTTTTTGTTCAATTTTTTCTTTTCATTTTTTTTTGTTCAATTTTTTCTTTTCTTCATTTTTTTGTTCAATTTTTTCTTTTCTTCATTTTTTTGTTCAATTTTTTCTTTTCTTCATTTTTTTTTTTCTTTTCTTCATTTTTTTTTTTCTTTTCTTTTTTTTTTTTTTTATTCATTTTTTTTTTTCTTTTCTTCATTTTTTTTTTTTCTTTTCTTCATTTTTTTTTTTTCATTTTTTTTTCTTTTCATCACCCATCCTGGGTCTGATGATAAACTACATCTGCATCCTGGGTAAGACAATAACCTACATCCAGCAGCAAGGCCTCTGATCAGGAGGTTTTGAGGAGCGTGGAACTACCTCTTCATTGCTGGTGTTCTCAGGTCCACCCTGAACCTGGGTGGTAGCACCTGTTAGGATCCCAGCTATGGGTAAATAGTTAACCCCCAAACTGGGGTTAAAACACTATAAAAGTGTAAAAATAGGTTTTAATACCAGAAATACTTTGTAAAAAAAATTATTACCAGCAATAAATTTTTGAAGAAAAATTATTACCAGCAATACCTTTTTGAAAAAAAAAAAGAAATATTACCATCAATAAAAATTTTGTTGGTATTAAATGACCCATTGAGGTTGATATGCCACAAAACAAACCAAACTAAATCTTTTCTTCACTCGTTTCTTTTGTTTATTATTGTTTATTTCTTTGTGTTTTTTCTCAAATCAAAGAACATTCTCAGCAAAAGACTTTCTTAAGAATTCTATTTTTCAAAAATCAATAATCTCCTTATCTAAAATTTTCTTTCTAAGGTTTGAACCTGGCAGATGAAAAGAGATTTTTATTTCATTTTATTTTCTTTTTCTCTAGATGGAAGATCCAAACCATGCTCGCTACAAGATGGAAAAAGATTTACACCATGTGAAGGATGTAATGGATAATTTAAGTAAAGAAGGTGCTCGATTATCCCAGGCCTTGCACACATTAAAGCTTCCTCCAGGTAAAGCTGATAAAATTATAGACCACTCATCAATATATCCTAGAATCTTCAGTCTTGTTGCATTAGATTATTGAACTGTATGCACGCAATACATTCACTGAAATTTTGAATTTAGAAACATATATATATTTTTTGTTTTGTTTTTTAAATGTTTTAGGTATATAATCTAGCCAATTCCATTTAGATTTTTTTTTTTTTGCTTCCATCATATTTGTTATTAAATATCCCACATTATCATAACAAAAAAATTAAATCTGGATTAATCATCAGATTCTACTTAAGATCACTCTGAATTTGCAGCCCTCAATATTTACATGAAGAGGAGAAATATATTGAAAATACATTCAAGACCCTCCTATACCTCATCTATTTCATATTCAGTGTGAAACAAGACTTGGAAAATATCCCAAAATAGAAAAGTGGCTCCCTTCTGACAAACCCAACAAATCAAATAATATATTGTTCAACCCATTAACTCTATCACAGCTAAAATTGAAAAGAATTCATTTAAACTCAGCATAAGATTTGACACAACTACATCTAAAACAATAAAATACTTAATCAATACAAAATAAAACGATGAGCCAAAACTTGAAAGAATTTACTATATCTATCCATATATATATATATATATATATATATATATATATATATTTTCTGTTTATACGTTATTTTTAGATAAAAATATTTAATTCAATGCACTGTTTATAATAAACAGTATTAACATTTACTGGCCTTAATGTCAGAAATTTCATTGAAAATGTGTCCTCTGACAGGAATCAAACTTGTATCCTATATAGAACTGTTATATAGCCTGACATGCTATACCATTTAGCTACAGAAGAATTGTCTGTTTAACAAGGTCAAATTACTGTTTTTAAACTACAAATTTCCCATGATGTTTTTCTGAACACTCATATCTGCTCAAAGTGTATCTTAATGTCAACAAATGACATCATATATTATGAAATGGACTAAGTCTGATAATTATTTTGATATATTTTCCATTTTATAATAAAAAGTTATAACATTTACTGGCCTGAATGTCTGAGAAATTTTTTTCAATTCAAACAGATAACTGTTATCTGTTTGAATTAGTTGGGCTCTTATGTCCATCGTCTTTTGTGTTAAATTGTTATAAGTTATAATGTTAATTATGTTTAAATGAAAATGTCCATGAAGATGGTCTTAAATAGACCGAAACGTCCGACGCCGACTTTTATTTTAACATTAATAATGCATATTCAGAATTTTGTTTTTCTGTATTTTTCTTTCATATATATATATATATATATATATATATATATATATAAATGCATGATATTTTTCTAAAAATGATTCTATTTCAATAATATTATGGGATTGATGATTTATTTTGTACAGCTTTACTCATGTTAACATATAGAAAATTGACATTTCATTACCACCTTGTTATTCTTATTACATTTATGCTTAGTATATTATTACAAGAAGGCATGGTGGAGTAATGGATAGCGCCGCAGATGGAGGAATTGGAGGGCTGAGTTTGAATTCCAGTCAAATCCATTACATTCAGTTATGTGCTAACACCCTTGGGAAAGGTATGAATCCTCTTCTTCTCCCCCAGCTATGGATAAATAACAGACAGACTGGCTTCTATAGCCTTGGATGGCAACTAGTCTACCACAGAAAGAAATGGCAACTTACTGTGGGGAAAAAATCTGCCTCGTCAGTCATGTATCGAAAGATAATCGCCTAAGTGTGTATCATGCATGACACATAACTGACTGATATTATTACAAGTTACTGGTTCCATTTAAGTTAATGCTAATAATGGGTTGTTTGGAAAGAAATAATAAATATCTTAACTTCTTTGAATCTCAAAGGCTCATGTTAAGCATTAGTATATCCATGATATATTTACACCATAACGCAACAGAAGGTAGGACCAGAAGAACTCCCAAAAATGAGTTCCCAACATAAATGGTGTCTGAAAAGATTTTATATATAGCACTAAAATATTCAAATATCTCAAAGTGCTATGTTCACATGTAAAAGCATTTCCTAAAAAATTAATGACTTTATTTCTAATCTAACATTATTACTTAAAGCATTTTTTTTAATGAATACCCATGTTTGAAGTACATTCCCATTTTATTTTAAACACTGTGTATTACATCTAGTGACCTGTGTGTACAAAAAATTTTATAAATTTTATCCAATAGCAATATTGACTGCTTTGTCAATGGGCACCAAATGTTTCCTTATAAGGAAATGGCTAATATTACCATTACTATTCTTGGGATTTCACATGTGATCGGTTAAATATTTTTCTCAATTATTATTAAATTCTGTTCTTCCCGTCTTACAACCCCATTGTCATACAAATGACACTGCCAGCTGGTGTCGGTAGTACAAGGGAGAAAACTCTAGTACCACAAGAAGATATACTTTCCAAAACAAAAACTTACAAATACTGTCAATACTCACTAATATAGAATAATATTACATTAAATATTGTTGAAAATTTAAATTTTTCTTCATAATAAATCATCTTTACAGGTAATTAATTTGATTATGTGATTTTCTTATGATCTAAAGAGATGGAAAAGGAAAATGTTAGAAAAGTCTTTAATATTTGGATAAACATTCTCTATGGATGGGATGAAAGTTGGGTACAATGTTTGGAAAATGTGTAGCATTAAATTATAACTTGAAAAATATGATTGCAATTTTGAAGAGAAATAAATTTCTTTCATTTTCTTAAGTTTCATTATTTTATCTGGTCTATTGCTTGTTTTAGCCAATGGGAGACTTATTGATCAACCCAAATTTTGAAGAGAAATTTATTTCATTTTGATACCAGTTTCATTATTCTGTCTGGTCTAATATATTTTTTTATAGGATTAAAGACCTTACTTATCAATTAACCCTCATCATTTTGAAGAGAAATAAATTTCCTTCATTTTCATACCAGTTTCATCATTCGATCTGGTCTAAAACTTGTTTTATAAGATTGGAGACCTTACTTATCAATCAACACATACACAATTCTGAATTTAATAAATGTGGAAATGCTTGCAGATGTATACAATTGCCAATCAACATTTCGTAAATTATAGTCTACATTCATATATGATTAATTTTTTTCCTTCTTTTTCTAATTTTTAAGAAATGAATGATGAAATAGCAACAAGTAATAAACAGAAGCCGTCAACATACATGGAGACTGACCTTGATTCAAAGGAATCATATGACTTGGCTTGTGAAACCTCATCCATGTTTTCGCCTGAAGGCTCTTCTAATCTTGATTATCATGAAGGGCATGTTGGTTTTGTTAAATATGTTCGTCCATCTTCTTTACCAAGTCACGTACAAGTTGACAACAGTAATTCGGCACCTGCTTCATCTCCAGTACTTTTAGAATCTCGTAAGGAGCAGCCATTGCATTCACAGTTGCCATCGCAATTCAAGGTCATTGGATTTTTCTTTTCTCTTTCCCCTTTTTCTTTTTTTCCCCCTTTTTTTTTCCTTTTTTTCCCCTTTTTTCCTTTTTCCCCTTTTTCCTTTTTCCCCTTTTTTCCTTTTTCCCTTTCTTTTTTGTTTCATTTTGTTTCCTTTTTTTGTTTCATTTTGTTTCCTTTTTTTGTTTCATTTTGTTTCCTTTTTTTTGTTTCATTTTGTTTCCTTTTTTTTGTTTCATTTTGTTTCCTTTTTTTGTTTCATTTTGTTTCCTTTTTTGTTTCCTTTTTTGTTTCATTTTTCTTTCCTTTCATTTTTCTTTCCTTTCATTTTTCTTTCCTTTCATTTTTCTTTCCTTTCATTTTTCTTTCCTTTTTCTTTCCTTTCCTTTTTGTTTCCTTTTTGTTTCCTTTTTGTTTCCTTTCCTTTTTGTTTCCTTTCATTTTCCTTTCCTTTCATTTTCCTTTCATTTTCCTTTCCTTTCATTTTCCTTTCATTTTGTTTCCTTTTTTTTTTTTTCCTTCCTTTCATTTTTAAATAAATTCCAAGGTAGTTGGTATTTATATTGTGAATTAACACCAGAGGGTCTTAAACTTTGGAATAAAAGATATAAACAAATAATATATGTTTATTTAACTGATTTTGATTGGGGCAGCTCATTCAGCTGAGTTATTGTTAGTTTACAAGTCGTTCTTTGGTAGTAGATGGAACGAATATATAAAATAAATTGTTAAAGATGCTGGAAAAATAGTTGCCTCGTTCTTTTGCTCCAGGAAGTACTAGACTGCTTCTGTCATACTCTTTAGAAGGGTTAAACTCTATCCCAAATGGAGTATTGCTATCATATCTGCACTTGAGCAGCTGATTTTCCAATTTTGGCAAAGTTCAAAATCATTCATGCAGCCTTATGGAGGAAAAACCTAACTTTTCACAGGGAGTAAGTTATTATCCCACACCCAACCAGTTTTGAATTCAGAGTTGTCCTTTTACTAGATTTGTTACTAACATCTGCTTTTTCAAGTGATCATGAATAGTTGCCCTTTCAGTGAGACTCTGTTTGAAAATCTGTTTGTTAAATGAGTAGGACAGGCTGGGTTATATAGCCTTGGTTCGCAACCAGTCTATTGCAGAATCTAATGGCATCCTACTGCGGAAATTCTTCTACCAAGTTAATCATGAATCAAAAAGAGACATGAATGCAAGGCACCTAAGGAAATATATTAATGTTGAAATTTGGGATAGATCGATTTAGTAACTAATGACAATAGGAAACCGATCCCCCACTTTATGTCCCAGAGAATCATACTTATTATAAAACCCAGGTTGTGTGTGTGTCTGTACATTTATATATTGGATCAGATTTCCTACATTTTTCAACCGATTTCAACAAAACTTCACAGAACTACGTAAAATTTACCTTGCGGTGGTTCTGACAGCACCAAAAATTGGAAAAACACAATTGTTTTTGCAAGAAAACAATTTGAAAACACAATTAAGAGGCATCGCTTTCGCGGAATGAAAGGGGGACAACTCATATCAAGTTATACTTATTATAAAACCCAGGTTGTTTGTGTGTGTTCCTTTATATATGGGATCAGATTTCCTATATTTTTCAACCGATTTCAACAAAACTTCACTTTTTTTTTTTGGCAGGTAGTGTTTCTTATTGTCTTGCACACTTTTTTCTTTATTTTTACATTCAGAATGCTTTAAAATTCCATTTACAAGACAATTGTTTATAATAAAATTCTATTCAATTGGTAGACTCATAAAGATTGAAAACAATGTTTTTGTTTGGGTTTGACCAATTCGTAAAAAATAAACAAAACAAAAAAAATAATTAAGACATGCGTGTCCGTCAAACTTAAACAATAATCTTTGTCAATTTTATTTTTCAGTCTTTATAATGGTTGATACTTGATCTATCTCTTACTGTTACATCCCCGGGCAACGCCGGGCTCTACTGCTAGTCATATATGAAATTAAATCATAAAGCAAAAAGAGACATGATCGCCCCAGAGTGTATCAGGCATGGCACCTAAGGAAGGATATTATTTTTATACTTTCATAGTGTTTTTGTTTGGTGGTTCATTATTTGCTCTTAGCTGGGACCCTAACAGGTGCTACCACTATGGGTCAGGGTGGACTTGGGAACAACGGCAATTAAGTAGTGGTTTCACACTCCTCAAAACCTCCTGATAAGAGCACTTGCTCCTGGTTGTAGATTTTGATCATTGAATACTGAATGTTTCCTCATATGCATATGACTAATTTTGCTATTACCACATATGTAAATTCACTGTTACTATGTAATGTTTGCATAATGGATTCATAAGCAGACACTTGGCATTTGGAATATTCCCTGTTTATTTTAATGTTATTAATAAGTTATTTTTATTTATTTTTCAGTCAGGTGGACAAGAGGTGGGAGTAGCTGTTCCAGTCACTTCGACTTTGGATGGTGATATTAGTTATGAAGAGGATAACATGTGGGACATAAGTGATGCTGATGACAACACCAAAAGATTTTATGGTGAGAAATTGTAACTACTTTGTTTATTGAAAAAAACAAAGAACAATGATTAAGTAAAGGAACAACAGGAGACTGAGATGCCTTAATGGTTAATAATATTGAGAATGGAATTGGCAAGTTCAAATTCTGGCTATGGCAATTTGAATTCTCTTTGGACTAATGCACTTGGGAGAGACCTGGATCCATTTCCTTTCCACCTCTTCCTTTGGGAGAGACCTGGATCCATTTCCTCTCTGCTTCTTCCTTTGGGAGAGATCTGGATCCATTTCCTCTCTGCTTCTTCCTTTGGGAGAGATCTGGATCCATTTCCTCTCTGCTTCTTCCTTTGCGAGAGACCTGGATCCATTTCCTCCTCTCTGCCTCTTCCTTTGGGAGAGGCCTGAAATCCATTTCCTCTCTGCCTCTTCCTTTGGGAGAGGCCTGAAATCATTCCTCTCTGCCTCTTCCTTTGGGAGGCCGAAATTCATTTCTCTCTGCCTCTTCCTTTGGGAGAGGCCCGAAATCCATTTCCTCTCTGCCTCTTCCTTTGGGAGAGGCCCGAAATTCATTTCCTCTCTGCCTCTTCCTTTGGGAGAGGCCCGAAATTCATTTCCTCTCCGCCTCTTTCTTGGGGAGAGGCCTGAAATTCATTTCCTCTCCGCCTCTTTCTTGGGGAGAGGCCCGAAATTCATTTCCTCTCCGCCTCTTTCTTGGGGAGAGGCCCGAAATTCATTTCCTCTCCGCCTCTTTCTTGGGGAGAGGCCCGAAATTCATTTCCTCTCCGCCTCTTTCTTGGAGAGAGGCCCGAAATTCATTTCCTCTCCGCCTCTTTCTTGGAGAGAGGCCCGAAATTCATTTCCTCTCCGCCTCTTTCTTGGAGAGAGGCCCGAATCCATTTCCTCTGCGCCTTTTTCTTGGGGAGAGGCCTGAATTCTTTTCCTCCTTGCCCCCATCATGTATGGTTAAATAATGGTACATTTGCAGGCTAATGAGGGTTATAGGAAAGTGAGAATATTTCCAGTTTGCATTCCCCCATTATTGGCTTCTGTATAACCATTATATAGTAACATATTTAACCGAACAGCTGATAGAAAGGAATGACAAACATGCATTATATCTCAGAGATTTTTATATACAGCTATGTCTCACAAGAAATTATATATTTTACTAATTTGTGCCACACAGAGAAATTATATGTTTACAACAAGCAGTGTGAAAAGGGGCAAAAAGGAAGAGGGTCTTACTTGTAACGTTTCCCGAAGTGAAAGTGGCCAGGCCTGTGGTATCCTCCATGTACCTGGTGATGCCATGTGGTTTTCTCTGTTCTGTTTACTGCCAGGGGCGTATATGTCTTGTTTCTCTGTCTATATAGCAACTGTAGTTTGCCACTCAAACAACAATGGAAACATTGCAAGTTATTCTCATTTTTTTAATAGCATTTTAACAGGATAAAGGTCTTTTTTTTTTTTTTTTTTTTTTTTTTTTTTTTTTTTTTTTTTGATTCATTCATTTTCTGTGGCTTATCAACCCTTTGCAAGTTATTTAAAGCTGGAATATATTTTTAGATTTTAAGAAGTTGTTTTTTTTTTTTGTTTTTTTTTTTTTTTTTTTTTTGAGTGGGTGAGGATAATTATTTAGTGATATGTCTTACTAATTAACACATAGCTGTAGGAAATGAAGTGGATTCATATCTTTCCTGAGGATATTTGTGTGTCAGTGAAGATAACTAACCCAACAGGAACTGGATCTCTGCTCATCTGATTAACAATACTGTAGCTATCATCCATTACACCACCTGCACATCCAAGCTTACAGCATCTGGTATTCCCAAGTGGACACACATCTAAGTAATGACCAGTCTCAATGTTGGTTTACTTCAGTGATTGTACGGGAACCAATGTTTCAATATGATATGAGTGTAAGCTCAAGATAAAGGAAGTAATTTTGGAATTTTGATTCTTAGATTGCAGGCCAAAATGAGATTAATCTCCTCCCCATAGATTAAATAAAGGGTTTAGTTTGAAAATCCCTAAATATTAACCAAATCAGCAAGCACCTGATGTAGGATGGAGAATACAATGCCCCAAGTGATTTCATAACATCAAATTTGAGAACAATAGTTTGCATGTAAATTGTAATCCCAGAAATTGAAAAAAAAAAAAAAATGGAATTGTAATACCAGAATGAAAAAATAGATAATTTTAGTCCCAGAAATTAAAAAAGAAATAATTGTAATCCCAGAAATTTAAAAACACTGAATATTTGATATTTCTAATCTCAGGAATTTAAAAAAATAAAATAATTATAATCCCATAAATGAAAAAATAATAATTGTATTCCAAGGAATCTAAAAAAAAAAAAAAAATCATTTTAATCTCAGAAATTAAAACAAAATTAACTGTAATACCAGAAATTAAAAAAAAAATGATAATTTGATAATTGCAATTTGAGAATTGCAATTTGAGAAATGTAAAATAATTGCAATTTGAGAAATGTAAAATAATTGCAATTTGAGAAATTAAAAAAAAAAAAGAGAAAAGATAATTACAGGTTTTGAGGAATGTTAAACCACCTCTTCATTGTTGTTCCAAGGTCCACCCTGACCCGGGGCGCTAGACCTTGTTAGCATCCCAGCTGTGGTCAAATAGTGAATGCCCAAACAAAAACAGAACACTATGAAAGTATAAAATACCAGCAATACATTTTTATGTAAGAAAATACCAACAAAACATTTTATAGCATCATTGCTAACAATGCATTTTATAGCATAATGACCAGATATAAATTTTATCTGTAATTGAAGCCATAAAATTGTGCTCGAAATATTTATATTTCAGCATTAAATAACCCATACAGGTGTTGATATGCTGCTAAGCAAAATCAAACAACCGACATGAAAGAACTCTTTCATGACATTAATCCATATAATATCCTACAATTTCTTAAAGAAATCAAACTATTTCAAAATATAACTTTTACAAAACTACAACATAAAACATACCTCACCACCTCTAGTAATCATGTCCATCAAAAAAGTCTATGTGCAAAAGCTGAGTATCATCTACCATGTATTGAGTTGTGAAAGCAAAATAATATATTATAATTTCAACATTAAATGACCCATAAGGAGTTGATATGCCATTAAACAAACAAATCAAATCTGTTATGTTAGATGGTGTACAATATTATTATACTAAAATTACTCTACAAGATTTTTTGCCTACTTTCAGAGGATTTCTCCTAAACACTTTTAAGTATTTTATCCATTTTAGTAAGTTGTATTTTTATTGACCAATATGTAGACTAGAGTTTGTTTTATGTTGCAAATAAACGGTAATGAATGTACCATTCGACTCAGGTTTATTGCCTAAAGAACGCCCACGCGTGCAGACAGTGAGAGATGTTAAAAGACAAGCAGGACAACGAAGAGAACGTGGTGCTAATGAAAGGTTTCGAGGACGAACAAATGATGAAGGAGAACTGGGTAATATATTTTGATAAGTATATCTTGGAAAGAGTTGGGTGAGGAGGAAAGTTTTTTTTTTTTTTTTTTTTTTCCTTTCCACTTTTCCCCCCCTGCACTTTTCTTTGCTTCCCCACCTCTCCCTTTTTTACCTTTTTTTTTTTTTTTTTTTTTTTGCCTGCTCTCCTTTTGCTCTTTTCCCCCTTTGCCCTTTTTAAGCTAATTATTTATTTTCTTTTATGTGCCATGTCCTTACGGGAGATTTGGAACCCTGGCTCTCTACAATTTCCTGTCCTTTGTAGAGCTTAATAAATTTGTCTTTTTGTTACTCTCCTAAAACTTGTTCTGCCATCCATTTACTCAAGTTCGCTAGGTAGGTTATGCATTGTTTTCCTCTGTCCCGCTTGCCTTTAATCTGACTTGTGAGTATTAAATTTTACCAGCCTGCTTTGCTCATGATGTGCTCTAGAAATTTCAACTGTTTCTTACACACGTTATGTATGTTTCCTTTTTGTTTCCATTTTTTTAAAAACTTTATCATTGCTCACATGTTGGATCCATGGTATTCTCAGCATCCTTCTGTAGAACCAAATTTCTGTTGCTTCAAGTATCTTCTTCATCTGTGATGAGATTGTCCAGTATTCACTGTCATATAGGAGGTTAGCTTAAAAGCACCCTATCGGGCAGAATTTAGGCTAGCTCCTGTGGAGGGTTCATGTTTGGGCCTTCATCACAGTAGACCATGAAGAGTAGATGCAATAGGCAACAATAAACTACAGAAGAGATCAAAATTGATCATTGCTTTAAATATAGCATTAATATTTAAGCTTACCTTTTAAAAGTTTAATGATAATTCTTCTGTCACCACTTAAAGACAATTTGGTGTAAGCAGGTCCTTACTTTTTGTACAAACAGTTATTTTTATTTGCTGGATTTTGTAATTAATTTTGATTATTCTCAAATTTATTTCCAAGTTTTAAAAATTATCATACCAAATTTTGCCGAAAACAATCGCAGCAATGAAAACTTGGAAATCCAAATTTCAGGATTGCGTGTTTGGATCCAGCCTGGAATATTTGTCACTTGCTTACGGAATTGGCCTGATTCCAAAATAGTATGATATGTTGGGCTACGGCCTCTAGGAGTAAAGTTGAAAAGTGTGACACAATGACATCTGCATTTATAATATATATTAGATATTGCATAGCATTTCAGTACTCTGTTCTTTGTTTCTAATGAATTAGAGAATTTGTAATTTTTGTTTCAGCCTAAAGCAAGCAAGGAAGGAATAATCTTCAGTTATTCCAATTTTTGAAAATGTACAAGACAAACTTTAGTTTTCAAATAAGAAAAACAAAAGGCAGAATGCTACAAATTTTGATTTTAGAATGAAGTTTAATATTATTATGCCTCTTTCTACGTGAGCTTGTAAACTCAGCATGGAGCAAACATTGCTGTGGTTTCAATAGGTTTTATAAGGTGAAGTTGCTTGCCTGACATCAAATCAGTTTGAGTTAAGTTGTTCTCTTCCTACATTGGTTGCCAACCAAGGCTAGATGGCCCAGACTACTCTTTGGGTTAAGCTATACTTAGTGGTATAAGAGTCATGCATTTCTGGTGTTAAATTGAAGGGAAGACATGAAGTTTTCATGTCTGCATTTTGAGATGAGCTCTGATCATTTATTTAGTAATTTGTTTTGGTCTGGGAAGATAATAATAGCTATTTTTTTCCTCCAAGCAAAGTTTGCATAAATAAATAGATAAATAAGCAAACAAGCCACTTTGCAAAAATAACTGCCAGAATAGATTACCCACAATACACCACTGACCCATATATATATATATATATATATATATATATATATATATAATATACATTAAAGGAAAAATCCAGCATTCGCAGCCTGACGATTGCATCTAGCATGAAACAGCCTGTCATCTCTGAGTGTAGACTTCAATGTTCACTATATATATATATATATATATATATATATATAAGTTACGAAGAACTTGGTAAACCGAATGGGTAATTCCAAATTAAATCCTGAGAGCTCAATGTGAATACAGAGCTAATATTTAATGAAAAACAGACCACTTTAAGGTACCATTACAATAATTTATTTCACCAAAATCCTTTTTAAAGGCTATTTCTTTCTCTTGGCTTTATTTTTAGATTTTTGATCCGGAGTCCTTTAAAAAGGATTTTGGTGAAATAAACTATTGTAATGGTACCTTAAAGTGGTCTGTTTTTCATTAAATATATATATATATATATTTACCTTCAACACAACCCAGGTTTCAATCTTACGGTCTCATCAGATGTTTTTTGGTAAATAATTAATTTGTAGCACTATTCAAGCCCTTTTATATAACTTGGCGCCATAAAGTAAAATTAGCAGAAGAGGTGGGAAGAACCAGAAGTGAGAATAAGAAAGAGAAAAAAATATTTTTGTAAATATAGTCATCCAGGTTTGTATTTGGCCAGAGTATGTTTATTAATGTGTCTGTATTTGGTCATCACTTCAAACTGTTCATTGAATAACTTGTCTCTGTCCAGGTATCAATATGATTTCTATATGGCTTTATACTTTATATATATATATATATATTCAAATGTTATAGTGGATACTGATATTTAAAATAGATGTCCTATTTTTTATTTTAACCTGTGTGTATTAAGGCTATTGGCATATGCACTTGAGAAATCTTAGGTTCACACAATTGCATGGTGCAAGACTCTGTGTGTGTGCATATATATATATATATATATATATATATATATACACGCACACACATTTTTTTCTGTACATTCTCCTTGTTTAAGTTGGTGAATTCTGCCATAATCCTTGCCTTCAGTTCATCTATGGTATTACAAGGAGTTTTGTTGGTCTCTCATTCAACTATGCCGCATGCATAATAATCAAGGGGGTTGCAGTCTGTGGAGTTAGGTGGCCAAATATAAGGGGTCATGTGGTTGCAGAAATTGTTTGATAGCCGTGACTGGTATCTCCTGCTTGTGTGGCATGGTGCAGTGTCCTGTTCCCAAACATAGTGTCTTCCAGCAGCCACCCTCTTGACCCAGGGCAGTCTTCCTCCTCAAGGCACTTGATGTAGGCCTCCATGTTGGGTCTGAGGCCCTGTGGGAAGATGATCACTCCACACACTGATGTTGACTGGATATATCATCCAACTCTTTCTGAATTCTCTGCACTGTCCTCAGATTGACGCCTAAACATGCTTCTGGTGTGAATGCCAAGCAGTACAGCATAGTTTCCAAATTTCTGGCAGTGTGTATTGCACTATAGTGCTCTTTTTCTCACAGATGATATCCATCTGACCCTACTATACTGTACAGTTGACAAAAATAAGTAAACCAATATGCTAATTCAGTACAACAAATATTTTGTTATGTCTCTGCTAATTTATATAATTTTATTACTTAAACATTATTTTTAGAGGATATTCATATTTGAGTAGATGTTCCGTTTATTTGTTAAACAGTATATTTATTTATGTTTTGCCTATTGCCTTGAACATTGGAGAGATCTTACTAAAGAAAAATATGAGTTCTCTGGCAGGATTCAAACCTGTGACCTCCTGGTTCTTGAAATATATATATCTGCTAAGTTTTGTATCCTAATGTAAACAAAGCAGATTCTAAAGAAGTATTGGAATTTTTTATCTATTGATATGACAGATTTTATTACTTAAAAAAAAAAAAGTGTTTCAACCAAAGTTAATCAGTGTCAAGCCTGGTCAGTATCTAGATGGTGACAACTTTAGAATACCAAATGCTGTAAGTTTGGATATGCAACTGGTATAATAGATAATGGCCTGTGTATTGGAAATCTGATTACCAGTTCCAGTTCATGTTGAGGAATATCTTGGTATGTTTGTTTTTTGGTATGGGTCAATTATTGCTAGTCATGTTTCTAAGGAGTCTGGGCTTACGGCCATATCACATTGAAACACTGCTTCTCATATGATCACAAAAGTTAAGCAATGACGAGCCTGGTCAGTACCTAGATGGATGAATGCTTGGGAATACCATGTGCTGTAAGCTTGGATGCACGGTTGCACAAAGGGCTTAATACCGGTTTTCATATGATCACTGAAGTTAAGCAACGATGATCCTGGTCGGTATCTAGATGTGTGGTTGCTTGAGAAGGCCACTTTCTGTAAGCTGGTGCATTGAATAACAGCTCATGATTTGTAAAATAGGTGAGCTGAGTTCCAATTCCAGTTGGGTTTGTTATATTTTACTCACAAATACACTTAGAAATGATATGAATTCAGCATTTCTACCAACAGGTATGAGTTAATTAGTAGGACTTGTATCAGTAAAATCATTATCTCCCAAAAAAAATTCTTACAATCTCAAAATATTTACTGGCTTTAAATAACCAGCAAAAGGTTGATAAGCCATAAAAAAAATCAACCAAATGATGAAATACTGATTAGCTAAACATCTTTTTAGATTTATTTACATTCTCTGTAATATAAAAGTATAGAAACTACTGGTGAGACATCAGTTTATTTATTGATTGTCATATAGAATTGATCCCCCTTTTTATATCCACATTATAATTTCTTGTTTATCAAATTCTGATTAGGTATGAATCCACCTGTTTTCTCCCTGTTATGGGTTAATTAGTAAAACTTGTATCATTAAACCATTATTATCTCCAAAATAATTCTTACAATCTACTAATATTTTCTGGTTTTAAATAACTAGCAAAAGGTTGATAAGCTGTAAAAAAAAAAAAAAAAAAAAAATCAAATACATCATACGCTTAAATAAACACATATTCCTCTGAAAGTTTAAATCTTATTCAAAGAATACACAACTGGTTTGAATTCTCTCCCCCCAAAAAACAAAAAAAAAACCCTAATATCTTGTATAAGAAGTATGTATAGTAATGCCTTGAGATACAAGCATACCAATATACAAGTTTTTTGAAATACAAACTGGAAGTCAGCTGATTTTTTTTTTTTTTTTCCGTTGAGGTATGAGCTGAATTTTGAGATATGAGCAATTTTCATTTAAGCATCTGCTTGTTGGCACAGTGTGTGCCAAATTTTGATAATATTTCCACTTGCAGTACGCATGTTGACCTCACTCTGGAAAGGATCTTTTTTGCTGTTATTTTGCAAAATTCCGTTAGTGACACAATAGCTTCGAAGAAAGTAAGTGTAAAGAGCAGTGGTAAAAAGGCGAAATGCATGATTTCGTTTGAAGTAAAGTGGGAAATTACAAAAAAAAAAAAAACGTGGAAGACGTACGAGTAATGGATTTGGCAAGACAGTATGAATGTTCTACACTGACGATAAATAAAAAAAAAAAAAAAAAAAAATCATAAAATTTAAAAAACTTTAAAAAATTAGTTACAGTAATGGATAAAATGTAAATATTTTAAAAACATTTTTTAAGTGATAAAGTTAATTTTCAGTATTGTAGGCTAGGATAGCCATTGCTAGGCTAACTGTTTTTGTCCCTCTCTCTCTCTCCTCTGCCAATTGGCCTATGTCTGGTCTGAACTTTATCATTTAGTACAGTTTATTTATTTTCAATTTGTTTTTTTTCTCTTTTATTTATAAACTACATTTCTTGTTTATTCACATGGTTTTGCTTATAAGAAACCCACAAATACAAGAATAGGGTGAGTTTTAGGAAGATAAGGGTGATTTTTAGGGACCTGTAATGGATTGGAAATACTCTCATTAATTTCAAAGGGGAAAATTGATTTAAGATAAGTGTTTTGAGTTATGAGCTCAGTCTTGGAATGAATTAAACTCATATCTCAAGGTATTACTGTATTATTTTCATTATAATTTGTCACTGTTCTCTATTATGCATCTGTTTTTCAGGTGACCTCTGGAGCACACGACCTCCAAACACATCCTCTGCAGATTATTTGGCAAATAGCCACCATCCAGAACTGACCCCACATTCTTATAATTTGGATAAATCCAGTGAGAAGTTGTTCTTCCCTTCCTCGATATCACAGTCTTTAGACCACACTGATTATAACAATCCACCCTCGCCTTTGCCACCACCTCCTCCCAACAGCATGCCTCCCTACAGCAGCCAAAACCTCTTTACCGAGAATAACCCATCAGCATCCATATTACCACCACCTCCCCCATCATCACCACCACCACTACCGCCTCTTCCTCAGCTTCAGCAACCATCCACCACAACAATACAGACGGATTCAGATCCAGATTTTCTGCGGAGACGTTCGTCCTTGCATTCCTTGCCGCAACGTCTTCTCGGTCCTAAGCCCTTCACTCCATATAGTAATACGGTGACTCTGTTACCCAAATACGAAGACAAAGGCTTACCTGTAGAAACGGTTCTGCCGATGAAAAACACAGACGCAAATAATAGTGAAATCAATCCTGAGATTAGCGAGCCAAGTGTTGTCAGCTCTGTTCAGACTAACAATCTATTTGCAGCCAGACCGTGGGCCACAGGTATGAAATAAGTTTTGTCCAGTTCTAGATTGTAGTATATACTTCCTAGTCACTACTCAAACTCGGGTTTGCTTCCTGATAAAAAGGTAAAAGTAGCGAGCACTTTACTTACACTTGCACCACTTCTTTGCATTTTAGAAACTTAATTATTCAGGATCAAAAACAAGCAGAGATATTGCAAATATTCGGAAATTATTGAAATACAGCCACTCCTAATTTAACAACTCACCTGTTTAACAAACCCCCAGATATAAGATTAGCTGTAAAATCTCACAAGATAAAAAATAAATCCAACCAGTTGGTATTGTAGACATCTTTGATTGGGATTGTTTTTGTTTTCTTCAAAATTAATCAAAATAATTCAAAAAAAAAAAAAAAAAAAAAAAATTAGTTGTACCATATTTGCAGTATGCAAACCAAAGTAATGATAATATAATAATAAAGTAATAATATAATAATAAAGTAATAATAATATAATAATAAAGTAATAATAATATAATAATAAAGTAATAATAATATAATAAATAAAAAGTAATAATAATATAATAATAAAGTAATAATAATAATAATAAAATAATAATAAAGTAATAAAGTAATAATAATAAATAATAAAGTAATAATAATATAATAATAAAGTAATAATAAATAATATAATAAAGTAATAATATAATAATAAATAATAATAATAATAATATATAATAATAAAGTAATAATATAATAATAAAGTAATAATAATATAATAATAAAGTAATAATATAATGTATTTATAATAATAAAGTAAAATAATAATATAAAAGTAATGAAGTAATAATAAATAATGAAGTAATTAATAATGTAATAATAATATAATAATATAATTAATAATAATAATAAAGTAATAATGAAGTAATAATATAATAATAAAGTATTAATAATAATATAATAAATTATTAATAATAATAAAGTAATATAATAATATAATAATAAAGTAATAATAATCAAAATAATGCCAACCAAACTAAAGTGCTGAATGTAGGTCTAATTTTTGAATTTGATATTATGTTTACTTTTCGGTACACTACTGTGTAAATAATAAGCAATGATTTACAGTATTTACATGCATACTATTATCCTCATTTTTGTTGTTGTTACCACATTGTTTTGCCTTTTGTGCGCCCTCATCAGGTCTATGTTGATCTGGGTAACCTAGAGGGAATTCTAAATGGAACATTTATTTAATCTACAGGGATTACCAGAATTGGCATAGACACTTTATATTGGCAGGAGTGCACAACAGATGATGATAACAACAACAAAGATGATGACAATAGTCCACATGTAAATGTTGTGCATAATGATAACTTCTTCACCTCTTTGAAGTTTCAATAGAAATAAGCAGTGAATTAGAAATGTTGCAAATGGTGCAAAAGTGACATTGAAGCCTATCTGAATCTTGTTGACACAAACACGTTACATGCACAGAACACCTGAAATAGATGTCCAGTACATATTCTCAGTTAACGATCACCTCATCAGAATGGAACTCTGTCATTAAGTGAGGAGTGGCTGTATTGCGAATATTTGGAATTATCCTTGCTAAACATATTTTGCATCGTTATAAGGAAGAACTAATTTTATTAACAGCAACAATATTATCTTTATTTCATTTTGTGAATTATTTTTGAATTTTGAATTTTTTTTTTTTTTTTGATTCTGACTAGAAAATTGTCCTTCAGTCTTTCTGGTCTGCACTGCTGTGATAAAAAGCTGGTAAAAGTTAATTTACCATATTTGCCAGTATCGAGGACACCATTTTCTTTTTTTTCCTAAAATAAGTCTTAAAAATTTGCTGTGTGTTCTTGAGGACAAAGGTTAGTGTTTTCGTAGGCCTATGCTAAAACCAAAGGAAGACTATCTATGCCAGTCATGGAAATTTTCAAGACTTATTTCAGAAAAAACTGCATCTTTGATGCCGTCAAATATGGAGATGATTTCTGTTTCAATTTCTGGGATGGGCAGTTATTATTATTTGCTTTATTTACAGTCAGATTAATATCCTCATCTTTGTTATCACATTTTTACTGTTGTACAGTTCGGCCTTCTGCAGGTGTTTTTAATTCTGGTTAACTGTCAGGGAATTTCACCATAAATATTTTATTCAGTCTACAAGAGTAAATTGTTCATGTACCAATGTCCATATCTAGGATTTTTTTTTTCTTGGTACTGCTATGTCATTTAATATCATAATATCAGTCCTCCAATATGGCAGTCAATGCTTGACAATCTCCTCACAGATTTAGAAGAGACTTGCAGTAACAGAAATCTGTTTTTTTTGAGTGGAATAATTTTAGGTGGATACTTGCAGATCTTGGTGTCACTTGAAGACTACCAAGAACAACAACAACAGCTAAAATGGATAGCATGTGTAACATGAAGTGAAAATAATATCTAGATCTTGACTAATTCCAAACTTTCAAATAAAAGGTTAAGAAGAAAAACCCCTTTCACTACTGGAAAGAGCAATAACAGCTACTGGATCCAGAAAACCTATTTTCTTGAAAAACTGTTTTAAGACATAAACTTCAACTGAAAAACAGTACCGGCAGCTTTGGTCAATGAATGCCAAATGTATCCTTATGGCTACTATTACCATTATGAAAGAACAATAAATTGAGACAAATGTTACTGTGCATGGACAATGAAATGAGAATAATCTATCCCTAGAAATAAAGAGCTCAGTTCAAAATTCTCCAAAGGTTACTCTGACGGACGGACAGTTGAAAAAGGCTGAAACATTGTGATAACAAAGATGATGTTAGTCTGACTGAAAACAAATAGCTTAAATTAAAACAAAAGAAAATTATATTTGACAAAGCTCCTCCGAAAAATAATATTGTTGCTACTAATACTGCGAGAATAAAAACAATAACAAATGTCGTCATCATGAATGAGTAAATCTTAGAGTTGGGCTTCTGCTAATCATTGAATTTCTTGCAACACTGACATTAAGAGCACCTTGATATGGTTTTCGCTGGGGTAGACTAAAGACCTGAGTATAGGCATGATAAAAAGAAACTAAAAATTTGAAATGAAATGTGTCATTTATTTATCATTACATACTTTCATTTCATTTCCTTTTGAAAATAAATCTTTGGCAATATTTAACATTTGTATCTGAAAAAAAAAAAAAGTGTATCAAAATGAGTTATTCCCTTGGCACCACTATTATTGTATACACTTTTGACTCCCTTGACAATGTTTATTTACAAGATTATAAAACTATATAAACCAAGTACAATGCGATATTTATTATTTACCTTTTATAAAGATTTATTATTTACAATTTTATAAAGAAATAAGTTTGAAAAGCAGTCTCTTTATTCAAAAATTTTAAAAAAATTGCAAAATTATTATTTACCTTTTTATAAATAATTACAGAACTTGAGTTCCTTGAGGAGATCCAAAGAATCTTCAGTATTATTGGTCCTGATCTGGCAGCTCAGCTCCAGTCACTTGACTACTTACCATAAAGTTGCCTCTGTTTTTTCTATAAATACTTTCATGGTAATTGTTTGAATGAGTTCTTCACTATGGTACCTAGAATTTTTTAATTTAAGTACAGCACTAGACTGGCATCAAGATCTTATCAATTTACAGCTGAGCTGGCTAGAAATAGCCCTAAATTCTAGGCTAACAGTTTCTTTTCTCACATTTCTCACTTGTGGAACTACCTTCAGGCTCCATGCTTTTCGGCCAGCTTTAGTCTGCAAGAATTTAAATGTAATCACTTTCTACTATCCTCTTGATTACTCTCTTCTCTTTCTGTTCATCATTAATGTTACTTTTCTTAATTCTTCCACACCCTGTAACCCCTTGTGTTTTAGTGGCATTACTGCTTTACTTGGGGTGATTCTGATTAGAAAAAAAAACAAGAAAATTTGAACAAACAGATGATATAAGCATAAATTAAAAGAATGTTTGGTTCAAAAGAAGAGATGCTCTCAATCTATTTTTGTGAATTTATATGGCAAGAACAAATAGAAATATCCGTAAAATGCATTTTTCCAAAATTTATAATTTCAGTTTCTTGTTATGTATTTAAGTTTTCTTTTTAAGACATTTTTACAAATTTATGAATAAAAAGTTTATAAAATTGTAAATAAGTATTTCATTATAGTTGCTTCACAGATTTTTATAATAAACATATAAACATAAAATTATTCTTGCATATAATCAAAATCTAATAAATAGTGTTTAACATCTTTGTTGTCAATTCTCAAGAAAAAGGAAAATGTATGAAGCTACTATCATATGTTTGGATCTTATTAATGTTCTAATCTTCGCTTTTTAAAATAATAAACATTGCTGGGGTGGGGAAGTTAAATGTATACAGTAATAGCGGTGCCATAGCATGCCATTTTTTTGTGGGCACAAAGGTTAAACATTGCCAAAACTTTTATAGAAATCATAATAGTTTTGTATAAACAATCTATGGGTGGTACAAATCTTTAGTAATGCTATAAAAATGCACATATTGAAATTGTGTATATAAATAAATAAATTATATATATATATATATATATATATATATAAATTTTATACCACAGAATTTATGTAATGTATTGTTTTAAAAATGACAGTGCATTCTTTAAATGAAACCTTTTTTGTCTAACACTTCTTCAGAAAGATTCATTGGAAAAAACAGACATTCAAAAAAATGTAATTATAAATAGCGAAACTGAAAAAGTGCATGTTGGGTAAATAAGGAGCTATGACTAAAATTATTGCTAAAACAATAAATCAATGTAAATAAACCCCTAGTGAGTATAAAAAAAAAAAATGTTATGCTCACAAACCACACATGAGGTGCATAGAATGAAGAAAGTTCTCCTACTTGCACAAAGTCGATTTATGAAACTTGATATGAACAGCTTCTAAAAAATAAATGTTTAGCTGAATGAGTTTTGTGCAGTATCCTAAACACTTCAGAATATTTCAAAGTGCAACCTGGGTTGTTCACC